ACGGCAATGGAGTTTATTGTTTAAGTTTAGGAATTGGTGCAATTCAAGGAGCGAATAAATTAAATGTAAGTGGTGGTAATAGTAATTTTGGAGGAACAGCATCATTTCAAAACACATCAACGTTTAACAGCGACATTAATGTTAATAATTCGGGTAGAATATTTCAAAGAGCAGACGCCAATAGTTCATTAAATGTAATATCAACCAACGAAATTAATTTTTCATTACAAAGTAATAGAGCAGATGACCCAACGACAGGAACAATAGCATTACAATTAAACGACAACCCAGCAGGGATTACAATGAATAGAGCAGTCGTTAATAATCAAACTTTTAATAGCATTGGTAATATAACAGCGGAAGCAAATTTAAATGTATGGGGCGAAATATTATTTCAAAACTCGTCGGGAATAAAGGAAACATTGAACGGTAGCGATTACGACTTAGATATTAGAAATGGAGACACAGACAGAAGCATTAATATGATTGTTGGAACTATAGGAAGCACGCCTGAAATATCGGTAAGTGAAGCGAATGTTAATTTATTAGGTCATTTAGATATTACACATTCAACAGTTTCAACAAGCGAGCGCGTAAAAATAGATAATCCAGACGCAGACGGATTAATATTTTTATCAATCAATGGAGCTAACATATGCGAAATATCAAGCACAGGTTTGCATGTTAATGGAACGGCTACGGAAACATCAGATGAAAGACTTAAGGATAATATAAAGGAAGTCAGTAGTAAAACATGTTATGATATAGTTAAATATATTAAACCGAAAGAATTTAATTTCAAAGGTAAGGAAGAAAGAGAAATAGGTTTTGTAGCCCAAGACATACCGAATTCGAAGATGCCTAAATCTTGGTCTAAGATGGTAATGAAAGATAGCGACGATGATTATTTGAGACTTAATTATATTAAAATGAACGTTGTCTTATGGGGTGCTGTGCAGGAAACGATGAAAGAAATAACACAACTAAAACGCGAAATTACCAAATTGAAAGGAAAAGGTAAGGGGAAAAGCGAGAGTGATTAATAATATCATTGAATATTTATATTATTAATCAATAATTAATTTGGCATCAAACCTTTTATAAAACATATCATTAACATCTGCTTTCATTAAGTTAATAAATAGAAAACTATACGGTTCTTCTGTTGCTAAATTATAGACTTCTAATAATAATTTCTTTGCTTCTTGTAAATTTTTAGTATCTGCTACAGAAGATTTTTTAATTAATACTGCGCTTAATTCTTCAACCATTGTTTCTATTTCTTTGTAATTCCTTAATCTAAAGAAGAACAACTGACGACTATTGACACGAATAATTGGAGACAATGCGTTAAATTTTTGTGTAGATGTAATAATATTAATTGCATTATGTCGCCCCCTTACGTATAATTGGTTTAATAAAGGCGAGTTTCTTGAGAATGCTTTTGAATCCGCGAAATCATCAACAATAATTAATATTGAATGTAATTTATTATGGTTATTCTTTTTTTGATATTCTATAATTTTATGTTGTCTATTGATAACTTCTTCTAATTCCGAAGGGTTGTATTCATCAAAGAAAACCTTTTCTTTTTCTAAATCTACCTTTAGTTCATTTTGAATATATCTTTTAACAGGGAGCCAATTAGCATCAACGCTAATTGAAGGTGACCATACATATATTCTCGCGAAGACGTCCTTATAAATGTCTAATATCATCGACTGTAATAAAATACCTTTCCCGCTTCCAGAAGGTCCAGTTATTATTTGACTAAAAGGTAATCTTGGGGCTACTTCATATTTTGATTGTTTGAACTCGTATTCTTTTACATTGACAGGTTTAACTATTGGAATGTTTGACATTATTACTAATACATAGAAAATTATATCGTTATTTAATATATGTATAACTACAAAAATTATATAGATGTAATAGATGAGTTAGAGAAATTAGACAAAGTAATAAAAACACCGAGATATAGAATGTGTTGTCGTAGTGTGTTAGAGTTCTTGAAAGCCGTTTGTTATTATCTTAAAAAAATGAAAAAATCTAAATAATATTAATGGAAGAGAACAATGGAGGATTTCACATTGATAAAAGTAGTGTTGATTGTAACTTTTGCAGATGTGGTAAAAAGGCATTATATAAACAAACTAAAACAACAACCGACAAAGAAGGTAATGTTATTGTTAATCAGGTAGAGAATAGGAGTAGTTGGAAAGTTGGCAATGGTAGGAATACTACGCCCGATGGGAATGCCATTTTCAAAACTAATCTAAATGACAAAGAAGACGTTGATACAGTCGATACAGGGTTCGGTTCGCGAAAACCAACGCCAGAACAAAGAATAGAAATATTAGAAAAAGAAGTAGAGGAGCTAAAGAAGAACTTGAAATTAAACAGTATGGATTAGCATTAAAGGTATGTTTTTATTATATATCGACAGGGCACGATTGCCAGCTTTTGGAAGAAGGAGAAGAAAACCCCGATACAGTAGCCCCAATTGTTTCACGTTGAACGGACACATGAAAGGGAAGTAGTGCAACACGTTCAATAGCATCTCATAAGCAGTTGCTTAATTCGTTTCCCCTATGGATTTTAATAATAATAAATGTTATTATTATTAATATGAATAATATAGTAGAGTTTAAATTAACAAACGAACCAAACGAAGGTTATAATCAAGACATCGGGTTTTGTAAATACTGTCGTAGTTATGTTCCTAAATCTTGTTTTATTGGTTGTTACGGCAAAATATGCAAAACGTGCGTTAAATGTCGGGAAAAACATTTAGCATATACTTTATATGGGAAAACTTCTAAACATTTACCAGAACAAAATGAGCATTCAAAAAGTAGCTGAAAAATGCGATTATTATGTTACAGGGGTTGATTTAGATTGTTGGACAAGTTTAGGATGGGAACAAAGATTATTGATGTGTGAACCCGAAACATTCAAATTCATTTGGGCACAGATTGATTTAAGAAAACCGCAAAACGAAGCACAGATTAAAATGATAATTGAACACTTGAAACCGAAGGGGTGGTGTATTCAACATGTAAAGGAAACTTTGAGCGATGCCGATATTGAGGAAATTATCCGCATTTAAAGGGTAGAATACGTAATAACGTATATGACCGAGGGTAAGGTGAGCACGGATGAGATTTATAACACTGTTATCGAGAATCATAATATGACTCAATTAAAAATTAACGAGATTTTAGGAATTGTTCAACAGTTAGTTAAGGATAAAGATAAGAAACCAATCACTTATGAAAAGAGCACAACAACAACACCAGTTGATAAAAGCGAGAAAAGCGATTGGAGCAAGAAAAGAAAAACTTACATGGAAAGACTGAATAAGGGCGAAATCAAAGTTCCAAAAGAAGACACATTGAAATATTATGATATTGAGTTTAACAAAGAACAAGAAAAGTATCAATTTAAAGCACCTGCTAAAAGCGAAGGTGAATGAGATGCGATTTAATATTATTTGATAATATTAAAACTCATCAATAAATATGATATGAAAAGTTATTTAATTTGTAAATGGCGATTGTTTCTTCAAGATTGTCGAGGGCGGTTTTGAATACAAACCAATTATCTTTATCTTCGTTTTCGATGGGTATGTATGTTCTTAAATACCATTCGGTATAATGCGAAACTCCGTTTAATATATCTTTTATTACCTTATCCCGTATATCTTTACAAACTTCATCATTTACAACATATTTAAATATTATTTTACATTCAATGTCTCTATAAACTTCGGCGTTATTAATCTTAAATATACAGTCGCCTAATGAAAATTTAGGATGAACATGTATAGGTTTAGGATTTTTTACTTTAGCAGAAGGATTTATTAAAGGTTGTGTGTTCATTTGTTGGGCTGATGTTGAACTTCCCATGATTAACGGTGTAACATAACATACCTTTAAACGTGTATTTATCATGGTTTGGATCACGGAGTTTATTTATCATGGTTTGGATCACGGCGTGTATTTATCTTGGTTTAGATGGCGAAAGAACTTGACACAAAATGGCTTAAAGGTATGAGACCATATTATATTAGTGATGAATTACTCTGATTTAAAAACTTATACCAGAACTCAGGCTAAGTATATTAGAAAGATATTTGAACAAAGGACGAGCCAAGACGAATATAAAAGCAAAATATCAGAGCTTTGGGAATTAAGAAACACTTATGAAGACGTGTTTGACGAAGAAGATTTAAATAATATTCGCGACGATATACAAAGCTTGGAAAACAACATATCGAACGCCGAAAACTTAATCAACAAATATTCTTGTATGATTGAACACATTGAAATACTTTGTCATTGCTACGGTGGTTCAGGAGAAACCGAATACTTAAAACGAAAGCCAGAAGGAGCCAACACATGGGTAGATATGACACTGAAAGATTTTGAAAACCGATATGGTCGTAATCTTGAAAATTTAGGCGAAACAGATGAGTCCGAAATGGAAAGCACCACAAGCACGAAAAGAAAACAGAAGAAGAAGGGAAAACAATAGGAAGATAACTTCATAAAATGTAGTTTAATATTATAACAATATAATATTAAATTTCATTAGAGGGCACGCTCGTTAGAGCCTTGTTATGTAAAAACAACCTTGCCCCAAGATCGGCTTATTGTTATTCTTGGGTTTTACGGGTTAGGGTTTTGGGTTGAGGAATAGCGGGGATTTATGGGGGAAGGTGTTTTTTCTTGGGTTTAGGCTTGGGATTTGGGGATATGGTTTTACTGGGATTTACGGCTTGGGTTTTTGGCTTGGGATTTTGGGCTAAGGAATAACGGGGATTTGGGAACATGGTTTTACCGGTTGATATTTGGCTTATGGGTATAACGGGGTTTTGGGAATATGATATTCGGGAATTTTAGGTTGAGATTTGGGCGCCGAGTTGGCGGAATGGTTCCATAGATTTGTGGGGCAAGGTGTCTTGTAAGTCCGGAGCCCGCGGAGCCTGCGGAGCTTCGATGGCTTGGTCGAAGCCTGGTCTTCGGAAGTGCTGGGCGATGGGCAGGTTATCACCCGGTCATGCCGTACCAGCTTTACAACGCACGGTGCTAGCCTCAAGTGGATACAGATCGCGCGCAGCCGGCAGAGGTTGCAGAGGCATTAGAGTAGTTCGCGAGATTCTGCACTTTAAGGTATCGCGTGCTGTCCAAGCTGGGTGCCGGTGCATTCTCGACCGCTGGGGCGCCCGGGGTCCTCTTTCCACTCTTCGGAGAAAGCCTTCGTGCGCTGAAGAGTTCAGGTCTGGCTTTGCACGGATGAGAAGGACTCCTCCCAAGAGCCGCGGTTGATCGCCATGAAGGCGCTGCTATGATGCAGTCAGGGCGGGACGGTGTGTGACGGAATGGATCGCGTAATGAGGTGTGCAAGTCGAAGAAGAGCGTCACGGAGCAGGTCCGGAGAAGCTCGATGCGTACTCTGTTCCGATGCCCAGAAGTTTCAGGCTCAAGATGAGGTCATGCTACTCGAACGGCGACGTGGCTGCACCGTCGAAGCTACGGTCATCCTTAAGAGATTCCACTGCAGGCTACATGAGGACGGCAGCTCGCCACATGTGGTCAAGGCCTGATCCCTGCGTTGAAGGAGCGCTTCTTGTGGCCTCGCTTGATGCGATGCTACCGGTCAGATGCTGGACCACTTCTGGCACACCGGCACGAATGGTCGCCACAAGTGCATGACATTCGAGGCTGGATCTTGGTCAGCTGAGGCTTAGTCCGTGTTCCTTCGGTCAGCGACATGCGTTCATTTTTTTCGGAAGTGCTCCATCGCCGTTTCCGAAGGTGATGGGGGAGAACTTGTTGGCTCTGGTCGGGCACTCCAGAGTGTGTCGTGCTCAAGTTGGCTGTCTCGTCACTCCAGGTCCGGCACCACAACTACGAGGGCCTTCCCAGAGACCTCTGTCGACGTCTATCAAGGCTTGCAAGGGTGGACACGGCGCTGGTGCAGAAGTGCATGACGCCTGTCCGGTGTTTGCCGGCTGTCCCAGTCAAACGCACACAGGATATGAGGAGATGTGCTTGCCATGCACTCCAATTTGCAACGAATAAGTCACGAGCCCACATGCAAGTCCCACCCGCAAAGCTTTACGGGATTTCTAGCATGCTTCGACCAGTTAGAGGCTTAGATTTAGCATGCAACATCTTGAGTACTCGCAATGACTCGTCATCATGACAACTCTCTCTGGTGCCTCGTCCACTGTCCGGTTGCGCGCTCAGTGCCAGGTTTGCCAATGCGCGCAGCAAGTTATGACTGTGTACCGACTGGGTCTAAGCCAGTTCCAAGGCTGCAAAGATCACGGCTGGTTGAAGGCCACGGGACTTCGTGGAGAGAGGATGTCCTGCGTCACTTTTTCAAGAAGTTAGGCGTGGCCAAAGACAATGCCGACCCCCCACAGAGTGGGTTTGCAACCACGGCGGATACGGCCACAAATGGGCCAAGCCGAGGCCTCTCTTTAATGCCGCGAGCTCACGGCTCAAGGAGACGAAGGCCGGTCCCAGAGAGACCGAAAGCTCTGCGCGCGCTTTTCGTCGGCCGGGGCTCAGGTGGAGCTGTCGAAGCACCGTGGCCTGGCAGCCAAGAAGGAGCCGTTTACGCCTGGGCCGGGCAAGTGTGACCTTGCAATTCGCGAACTCGCGCCGCAGGATCTGCAGCTCCAACAAGACACTGCCAGATTGTTGCAAGCGGTCGACCTGCGACATCGACAGGACAGAGACCGGGAAATTGAAAATGACGAGGTTTGGAGTCTGGAGAGGGCGCAGCTTTCCTCCGAGGACGAGCTGCAATCGGAGCTCCAAGCAGCGAAGTCCTCCCACGCTGGGGAGCGGCAGAGCGGCAGTGGCCGAGAGAGCAGAGCGCGGAGGGGCGGAGAGTGCCTTCTTTTGTTGTGACCAGTCTCCAGTCTCCTCTGTGAGGAGCTGGAAGCCCAGCAGAAGCACTTGGAGGTGCCCGTGTGTTGAAGTCGCTGTCGGATCTGTCGGGCTTTGACGTTGACCTTCTTCGACCTGGAGCTCAGCTCAGGAGCAGCACTCCGAGGAGCTCTTGCGTTCCGGACTTAGGAACTGTAGTACCTTGAGTACTTCGACTCCCAGTGTGCGATGTGGTTTTGGCCGTTGCTCCAGGCCAGCTGTTCCAGGCGGAGGAGAGCGAAAGGAAGCTCTTGCAGGAGTGCACTGCACAACCTCATCATGGAGTAATGCAGCCTGCGTTTAGTCCCAGGAGCACAGCCAAGAGCCTGGTGCTGCCGTCTTGCTGCTGGAGGACGCGCCAAGAGCGCTGCGAGTGCTGCGGTATCTGCGATGCTGCGCGCACCTTTCGGTGCCCTTCCCGCTGGCCCCGGCTTGGGGGAGGACTCCGCGGCCTTCCGTGCCGAGGCCGAGCAGGTGCGCGGAGGTGTTGGGTTCTGCCGTGCGAGTCTTCCGTCGGAAGTGGCCTTCGAGGCCACCTGGCAGCAGAAGACCGAAATCCAGGAAGCCGAGCTGCTCATGGCTTCTCTCCAGCAGGACCTCGAGCCTCGAGCGATTCCGTTCCGGGCTCGAGATGTCTCGAGAGAGGAGCTCCTTGATGCCGGCGACGAGATTCGGATCTTGAGGCTTCCTGCCACCCCGTTGCCGCCGTTGCCCGCTCCGAAGTCTAAGTCCCCTTGTTGGAGGCAAGAGCGAGACAGCGAGAGCGAGGCGGCATTCGTGACCCAGGAGGCTTCCGCTCCGTGGCGAGGGAGTCTGAAGAGCGGCACAGCTCCGAAGGCTTACCTCGCTGAGTCCCGAGCCTCCGTCCGCCAGCAGGAGGCAAGGAGAGTCAGAGCTGCCCCTCGCCCACCCTAGCCCCCCATCAAGGGAGAGGGAGACTGCGAGACCCGAAGCTTCTCTGGCGCAGAGGCGTTGCAAGCAGAGGTCCGGGCCGGGCCCGAACGTCCCGAAGAAAGCGGAGCCCCCAGTACTCTGCGGCTGTGCCAGGTCCGGACGAGGCTTTCGGAGGTCGCAGCCTTCGAGGCGCGCAGCATGCAGCCGCGCATGCGCCGGCTGTGGTATCTCTCGCTGGAGCTTCCGAGAGGAGAGCCAGCGCGGCTTGGATGGTCAGTCGAAAGCCTTGCAGAATGAGATCCTCGGCTCCAAAGCACAAGTGCAGAGCGGCGCAGCCGTCCTTGAAAACCCTGAGGCTCAGCAAGGTGGCCTACACAGTCGGCCAGCGGGACCACGAGCTCAAGGCCGTTGGGATGCGGCGTGGCACAGGATCTGTCCGAAGAAGCTTGGAGGTCAAGGACACGGAGTTGCAGGAGGTCCGCAGCAGCCTCGCTGGCATGCAGGAGCACCGAAACAAGACGAAGAGAGTGCGGCTGTCCGCAGAGAAGAGTCAGCTCCGTGAGTGCTTTCCCCGCGCATCTTTGGGGAGGACGAGATGGAGGAGGTGAGCTGCCAGCTCAAGGCCCCGGTGCCCCGCGGTGCCCCGGTGCAGCCGCGCCCAGCCTTCCGTGGCAGCCGTACGGCAGGTCCAGTGCGACCGCGTGCAGCGCGTGGAGAGGGAGCTGGCGCTGTCCCGGGACGTCAGCCCGGGCCCTCCGGCTCGGGGGAAACAGTCCTTGGAGCGGACGCTTTGTGCCCGTGTGCTTTGGGGCGGTTAAGGCGAGAAAGTCAGCAATCTGAGACAGATGCTGCAAGAGTCGCACGGCCAATGCCGCAGAACTTTCAAATCACTCTAGTCGCATTTCTTCCACTTCCTTGGTGAACGAAGGTGGCATCTCCCGTCTCTGTCGGCTTATCGACGAGGAGTGCAGTACACTACATGTCTGCAGCACTGCGAGAGACAGGCCCGCAGGAAGCAAGAAGAGCCCGATGCTCTGATGTGCCACTGCGACGGTGCGTGATTCGGCAGGAGAGACAAAAACGCGAGCAATACGTGCAAGGCCTGAAGCAGCAGAGGCCAGTTCGCAAATCGCTTCCGCAGACAAAAACATTGCACATGCTTTCCTCGTGCACGTGAGATGCAGGTTGCGCACCGAGTTGCTCCTGCAGCTACTGTGCCTGGATGCAACAATTGTGCTTGTGGTGCGGCGATGCAGTCTGTAGCAGCAGCTGGTGGCAGTGCCCTCTAGCTCTTGCGAACTGCAGGCAGCACTTCAAGAATCGAACCCAGGACTTGGAACTCACCTCAGACTCGCCACGACGGTCGCCGCTTGAAGCTCCTTGAGAACCGCGTGCCTGGCAGGGGCCCGACACGATCTTGGCTGGGGTCGGTTTGGCCGGCCGGAGGCCAAGCTCGACGAAGACATTTTCCACCCCGCTCCAGAAATCATGCAAAGATAGGGGAAAAAACATTACAGAACAAGAAGCAAAGCAACGACGTGCTGCATGTTCCTGCCTGCACCACTTCGCCGCGGCTTCCTGGCTTCCTGGGTTCGTGCCTTCTTGGCCATTCTTGGCTTCCTGGACACGCCATCCTGTGTGTGCCTGCTCTAAACCATCCGAGGTCTTTCTGTACCCGCAAAACTGCTTCAAAATGTGGACCCCTGTGTGCCAAAGCAGCCGGGACCACATTCTACAGGAAAACAGCGACGTTCGTTGTGTATGCCTGCTCTAAACCATTTAGGGTCCCCTTGTGTCCAAGGAGTCGGGGCTACATTCTAGCCTACTTGGAGGTAAATGGTAATAAATGTAATAATGGTAAATAATTACAGCCATTTAGAGGTGAGGTAAGTGTATGTCTGTGTACAAGCATTCATTAATAATCAATAACTGACTCAAAAGTAATGGTCATCGTGGTACATAGTTTCAGCCACGAACGTAACAAGTAAGTGCATGTCTGTGTACAAGTATTCCTTCATAATCTACCGAGAAGGAAATCGTAAATATGGTACATAATTGCGGCCATACACCTTCTAATTGAAGGGCTGCGCCGTTGCCGCCGACCCCGCTACCAGGGGCCCGGCGCAGGTAGGCGGCATGAAGGGCGGGCGTGTCGGGCGCGCCGGGTGGTCGTGCTGGGGCAGCAAAAGAATAGATTCATAGATTTCTATTAAACATAGCAAGAATCGCGACCCGGGGGAGGGGGGGGGGGCGAAGGCGCGGTGTCGCGGGCGTGTCCGGAGACATAGCAAGAGTCTCAAGCCGAGGGAAGGGCGGGGGTGCAGAGCCATGTGGGGGGGGGGGGGGGGGGGGGGGGCGGCGGTAACGAGGGGGCGGCGTCGCGGGCGTGTCCGGCGTGTCCCGTGGTAGCACCGAAAGGGCGGCGTCGCGGGCGTGTCCGGCGTGTGCGGCGTGCCGGCTGGTCGTGCTGGGGCAGCAATAGAAGAGCGTAGAATCGACAAATATGGATAGAAACATAGCAAGAGTCAGAGCCAAACCTGAGGGGGGGGGGCGGCAAGGAGGGGGCAGCGTCGCGGGCGTGTTCGGCGTGTCCGGGGGAGGGGGGTGCAGAGCCAAATTTAGGGGGGGGCGCCGCAAGGGCGGGCGTCGCGGGCGTGTCCGGAGTGTCCGGCGTGGCGGGTGGTGGAGCTGGAGCAGCAATAGAATAGAAATCAAATTACAAAAAAAAAAGGGGTCCGTCCCGGGACCCGCTGTCACAGGCCGGGGGTGGGCAGGCCTGCCTGGTGGCAGCACCGAAAAGGGCGGCGTCTGGGCGTGGAGACATAGCAAGGGGGTGCAGAGCCATGGGGGGGGGGCAAACAACGAGGGGGCGGCGTCGCGGGGCGTGTCCAGCGTGTCCGGCGTCCTGGGGACCCGCTGTTAGGCCGGGGCTGCGCAGTCGCGGGCGTGTCCGGCGTGTCCGGCATGCCGCATGCGGGGGGGGGCGGTAACGAGGGGGCGGCGTCGCGGGCGTGTCCTGCATGTCCGGCATGTCTCGAAGAAGGCGTGTCCGGCGTGTGCGTGGTCGTGCTGGGGCAGCAATGGACTATAGCGTAGAATCGAAAAATATGGATAGAAACATAGCAAGAGTCAGAGCCAAACCTGAGGGGGGGGGCGGCAAGGAGGGGGCAGCGTCGCGGGCGTGTTCGGCGTGTTCGGCGTGTCCGGGGGAGGCCGGCGTGCATGCCGGGTGCGGGGGGGGGCGGTAACGAGGGGGGGGCGTCGCGGGCACCAGCGTAGAATCGAAAATTATGGATAGAAACATAGCAAGGGGGGGCGGCAAGGAGGGGGCAGCGTCGCGGGCGTGTCCGGCGTGGGGGGGGGTGCAGAGCCAAACTTTTTGGAGGCGCCGAAAGGGCCGTCGCGCGTGTCCGGCGTGTCCGGCGTGGCGGGTGGTGGAGCTGGAGCAGCAATAGAATAGAAATCGAATAGAAAGAGGGGGGGGGTGTCCGGCGTGTCCCGGGACCCGCTGTTACAGGCCGGGGGTGGGCAGGCCTGCCTGGTGGCAGCACCGAAAAGGGCGGCGTCGTGGGCGTGTCCGGAGACATAGCAAGAGTCTCAACCCGGGGGCAAGGAGGGGGCGGCGTCGTGGGCGTGTCCAGCGTGTCCGGCGTCCTGGAGACCCGCTGTTGCAAGCCGGGGGTGGGCAGGCCTGCTAGGTGGTAGCACCGAAAGGGCGGCGTCGCGGGCGTGTCCGGCGTGTCGGCATGCCGGGTGGTCGTGCATATAGATAGAAACATAAAGGGGGGGGGGCGGCAACGAGGGGGCGGCGTCGCGTGCGTGTCCAGAAACCGGGGGCGGGCAAGGAGGCCCCTCCTGGCGCCGACCGGGACCGGGGTCGGCGGATATTTTTAGTATGCTATAAGCTGTTTACAAAAGCTTTGGATGGCTTCTCGGGGTGGGTAATTTATTTAAAGCTCCACGTTCGTGACGGAACACTTTTGCTTTGAAGATCTCGGACGCACGTCGCGAAAACTATTTCGGTCCACGAAAACCTAGACACCAGCCGCGGACGTTTGGTCGACACGCCCTAAACCCTCAACCTTAAGACCTTAAACCTAAAACCCAAAACCCCAAACCCTAAAACCCGAAATCCTCAAACCCCAAGCCCCAAAACCCTACAACCCTAAACCCTAAAATAGGGGTCGAAAGACCAACATGCTCAATCTACTCAAGCATACTTCAGCTATATGGCCGCAGTGCCAGCATCGCCGTGTCCAACATCGGAAGCAGCTGCAATCTGCGGCACCACAGCCTTTGAACGGCACCAGCGAGGGCCAGTCTCAGGTCCTCCCTAACATGGGAAATCATTGACAGCGTATCCAAACTCATTGCAAGGTTGAGTAGCAGAGTTTCTTAAGAAGGGAAGCGTGCTCTGACAGTCCAGCGGCAAGTCGAAACATCACGGAGATTTGACTATTTCGACACCCCTGCTACCCAAAGGTTCTGAAACGCAAAATAAAATACATCAGTGAATGCTCTTGTCGTGAGTAACTAGGTCTGAGGTCTTGAGCGTGCATCTGCTCACCTTCGTCCATCGATTGTCAAGCGCCTGAAGACAAAACGGCACACCTTGGGTTTTGTCATGGGCCTGCAGGCTCTGTCCCGCCCCTCTCCAGGCCTGAAGGAATCGACCGGCGGTCGCAACGATTATGTTGATTCTGGCCTTGCTCGCTATGTTTCGTGCGTAACCCGCACTAAATTCAATGTTTCTGATGAAGCTGGCATCGGCCAACAGCGACCAGGTGAAAACCACATCGTCGGCCCGCACTCTTTCGGCATTGAAGCCCAGCACCAAGTTGAGATGCCGAACCGCGATTTCCTTCTGGAGTTTTGTCATAACCACGACTTCGCCATCGCAAACTCCTTTTGCAACATGCCAGCTGAGAAACAGGTCACTCATTACGAACCTGGAACCCCACCTCTCGCCCCAGTTTGCCTTGGTTCCTTTTCAGTCCTGGACTTGCTATTGGTACCTGGCCACAATCTGAATGATGTGCAGTATGTGTGCAGTGATCGCTTCGCCACACTTGCTTCCAGTCAGTTCCCGGTCACACCTCGCTTCTTACAAGTCTTGGTCTGGATGGAGCTTGTCGGGGAAAATCTCAACGAAGAGACTGGGCGGCTTTGCAAATCCCCTCCGTTCGCCGTGCAGTCTGCGAAAGTATCACTGAATGTATGTCCAATGTCGATTTCTTGGACAAGAACTTCTTCTGGAAGAAAGCTTGCTCTTGTGTCAACTCAGGGTTCAAACAACATGTACCTCCCTTGACTTCGTGTGCAAACAAACCTTGGATCAGCCCTGGAACGCTACAACTCTTACAACAGAGACGTGAAGCTCGTTTATGCGGTCAGTGGGATTCGGAAAAACGTTTGAGGGCGGAAGTTAAGAAGTCGGCCAAACATGATCGGTCGAAGTGGCTGGAAAATTTGGCATCTTCGGGGGGACTGCAAATCGCTGAAGAAACTTCGTCGCGGACGTCATTCGAAACAAGGACGATTACGAAGTGATGATGGTCATTTGGTTTCATCGGAACTACGGGCGGAAACCCTCGCGCACCACTTGGAGCGAATTCAGTGGAAAGTTAGACCGACTACCCTGACCGTTGGTGTTGGTGCTCCCTTAGGTCCTTGTTTGCCAGTGAAATCGGATGATTTTGGTTTTACGGAGCTTCGAAAGGTTATCCGAAAGATGTCAAATGGAAAAGCCACGAAGGATGGAGACATTCCTGTTGACATCTTCAAAGCTCTGGCGACAGAGCCGGATTCCAATTTACAATGGCTCCTTGATCTTTGCAACTATTGTTGGCGAAACAGAACTATTCCTGATGAGTGGTCGACAGCTTCAGTTGCCATGATGTTTAAAACGGACGACCCTGCTGATGCCAACAATTACCGACCCATATGTCTTCAAAGCATCGCTTACAAATTGTTCGCATCGTTGATAAAGGAGCGTTTTCTGGATGCTGGCGTAGACGGCAGATTATGGAAGTCTCAGCTTGGTTTCCGAAAGCAACATTGTACCGAAGATGCAATTTTCGTGGCTCTGCGAAGGATTGAGAAGGCTTGTGCGCAGCGGAATGGTCAAATACGTTTCTTAGCACTCGACTGGAAAAAAGCTTTCGACAGCATAAACATTGACAGCCTTCTCGATGCATTACGCCGTTTTGGTATTCCTGATTTCTGCTTGGGTTTGATCTCGGCCATGATGCGTCACCGAAGCTTTTATGTAGTTGACCAAGGAAATACGTCTACCACAGGGTCCCAGAAGTCTGGCATTTCACAGGGTTGCACTCTGAGCCCATTGTTACTTGTCATGACGATGACAGTCTTGATGCATGATGCGGTCTCCGACCTCGATGCACCATCTGCAGCCGCATATGGAAAGGGAGATTTGGCAGACATTGTGTATGCAGATGACACATTACTTCTCGCTACTTCCGATGGTCACCTGCAGGAGTTCCTTTCCAAAGTCGCCGATGCTGGAAAATTATACGGTATGGAGCTTCATTGGGACAAGTTCCAATTACTGTCAGTTCAATGTAAAGCTTGCATTCGCACACCGACTCGGGAACACATCGAATCAGCACCTGGCATAAACTATCTCGGGGCCGTCGTCACCCACACAGGCTTGCCCGGACATGAGCTGGGTCGCCGCATCGGGATGGCGAAAGCAGATTTTACTGACTTGCAAAAAGTTTGGAAGCACTTTTCACTTCCCGTTCATCGGAAGGTTCACATTTACAAATCTCTGGTTGAATCCAAACTTATGTATGGTCTGAGTTGCTTATGTCTTTCCGCAGCCGAACGTCGACGTCTGGATGGTTTCCAAAACCGATGTCTACGTCGTATCACTGGCATCCGACCCTCTTTTGTTTCCCGTGTTCCGAACACGGCTGTTTTACATCGGGCACGCTGCAGTGCCGCCTCTGACATGCTCGTGCAACGCCAGTTGCTTTTGTATGGCAAGGTCTTAAGATCTCCACTGGACCACCCTTTGCACGTATCTGCATTCATACCTGGAACTCTTCAGCCCGCTGCCAGCAGGTACGTGAGGCGAGTAGGTCGGCCGAGACGGGAATGGGTTTCTGAAGTAAGCATTAGAGCTTTTGATTATTTTGGCGGCCACCGTGAAGTAACTGCATGACCCCGCTGTCTGGTATCGAAGGGTGCGTCAAGCCATATCTGTCCACGCGCCGCGCGGCGTATGACTGACTGACTGACTGACTGATGAAGCTGGGGTTGCATGTTTATGAAGCATGCGGGAACTCTATGTGTCCAGATCCAGTAGCCCTTCTCTGCAAAGCCATCAGAATCATGGTCCCATTGCCTTTCAAAAGGAACTCGCCTGAAGGAGCGTCTTCTCGCCACCGACAATGGTGGCACAGGCAAGTCGTTTCAACTTCGATAGTAATGTAGCTTAGTTTGCTTGTCTTTACCAGATCCCATTCCAACATGTTCCAAGGTAGAGTTCACAGCAGGCACGATGGCTCCTCCAACACTAGCGATGGCTCCGGCTGAGCTTGATTCGAGTTTTTTATTCATTTCTAGGGCCCTGGCGAGCAGTACTGCTTGCAGACCTGACTAACGACGTACAAAGCCGAGCATCTCCCCAAAGCAATGGCCACATTCGTGCTGCAAAATTTTGGGGCCTTCAGGAAAGTGTGTCTCGATTCTTTCACCCCACGGCTGTTGCAAGGTTCTGCAAATGCGAGGGCTCATTAAATAAGTTGATCTCACCACCAGTTCCTCTCACTCCAATGTCCGTTCTCTCTTTTTCATTTTTTTTGGTCCTCTACCATGCGAAATGCAACAGTGCAATCGTGACACTGAGTACCAACCAATCACGTTTACACACGCAGGCAGATCAATCCTTTGTGCTTTCAGGCCGGTCTTGTCCAGTCTTGAGCCAACGCCATTCGGCATCAGGTCCACGAACTCAAGTCCCCGCTAAGTGGTCATTGAAGGCACAGTTGAAGCTGTGTCATTAAATTTAGCACAACTTCAAAGAAACCAGGTGACCTGAGGCCCTCGGGACCAGGCTTGCCTTGGCTTCAGCAGGGGCGGGGGTTTGCAGAGGCAGCGGCTGTTCCAGCAGGAAAAGGGGGTTTCTTTCTTTCGCGGCTCAGCTCAAGATGCCTGTCGGGCAGGCTTGGAAATCCTTCTTCAAACAGCAACTGAAATTTCGAAGATGAGACAAGGGGCATGAAACAACCTAAAGTCAGGCGTTGACATCTTCCCGCCACAAATATAAAAAGTCGTTACCAAAACTGAAGGGCATTTTGCACAAACCTAATTAACAATCCTAGGAACTTCGAAACTGGCATGCTTCCACACTCCAACAAAAGCCGCTCAAGTTAACCAGCTCATGATTTCCGTTTCGTTTACAAATTTGATAAGATCTCCTTTGAAATGATGTGATATGTGAGTTCTGCGGACCTGATCTACAGCATTGGGCAAATTTCATTTTTGTTCAGCAACGGCTGCGGGGTCTAAATGGTCCGGCTACTCTGCGTGAACATGTCCCAGCATTCTGAAAAGATGAGTGCATTTGCACGATCGTTGGAGAGATAACATCTGAGGCTGGTGAGAACGCTTTCGCGACAAATCCTGTTGTCGCGCATTCCCATGGCTGAGAACATGCTGAGAACTATCTTGGGGCTTTCAAGCCGAACGGAATTTCAGGACCGATTACAGGGATCTGAGGAGCGCTCTCCTGAAATCTGATCCCAGCCGTCCCAAGCCGTTCCCGACCTGGCGGCGGAATCCCTTATCAGCTTCCGCGGCCTCAGATACAGGTATTCGGCATGAGGAAGCACGGCAGTGATGATGCACGCAGCAAGTCGATGTCTGAGTGCATGGCCGATTGAATTCCAAGTGGCCGAAGATCCTCTGCTTCGAACCACTCGTCTTGATTTCGTTCGTCATCCCCTTCCCACCAAGTAGATTCGCTCCAGTACGCCATTGCAGTGCAAGAGGAGCTTCTGCAAAGTCACGAACTGAAGGCTAAGGGAGCTTCCCGTCATTTGACAAAGTGCGGGTATGCAGGATCTGCAGTAGAAGCATTAGACACCAATGCAGCCACACGATGCAACGTCATTGCTTGTCAAGCAAGTATGCACCAGAGGACAAATGCAGGGGTCACCACGAAAGTTCGGTGACATCAGCTCGTCCGCCTCGTCTAACACCACAAACCTTGGACCATCAACATTTGCAACTTCATACCATGCATGGCAGAGATACTATTTCGAGACTCTAGATCTACGTTCCAGGAGTTCGCTGCAAAACAAGGAAGCATGTGCTTGCAATGTTTGGCCTCTACACCGGCTGCTGGGTTGACGGGACGGGCAGCTAGAGTCGTAGAGCTTGTAGCTTTGCTTCTGACGAGGCCCGTGTGGCTCCGGCTCCAGCGAGCCGAGGCTCTGCTGCATGTCTGAAAAGAGTGACTGAAGTCTGGGCCCTGCTCCAGGATGCAGCCACACCAAGCAAAGCCCGCGAAGCCGTGAAGGGACGGAAAAAGACTTGGAGTCGGAGATGCCTTTATCTTGCAGCGAGCGTCTGTGTCTGGGTGTTTGACGGCTATCTGCCCGAAGCGATGCAGAGGCACACGCTGAAAGGCTTGCAGCACATCCATGCCCGCGGTGTCATCCACACGGATGCTGCTCGTCTCTGTTGGAGTGCGCAGAAGTGTCAAGATGGAAGCAACAATCTGCAAGGTGAAGCTCGAGAATGTCATGGGCCAAGATGCACTGCTACTGCACGTACGGTGATCCGACGTGCGAGGCACTAGAATTCAGAAAGGAGTTGAAAGTCCGGCAAGGTTCTCATATGCCGACACGACATGTCGGTGCTCCTGCAAGAGGCGTTCAGCAGAGCAGAGGAAACGGTTGGTTGTTGGGAGTCCAAAACCGGCCTGTGCTTTCGAGGCATCCAGGGCACATCGAGCCTTCCAGGAGCAGAAGTCCGGCCTGGAGACTCTCTCGAAAAGCTAGGACCTCAAGTCCTCAAGTCCCGAGCCCATGCAAGCCTTGGTAGCTCTTCAGAAGGCCAGAAGAAGCGAATGAAGAAAAAACAGAAAGCCAAGGACTGCCGAGTGGGTCTCCATAGCGTGCAGTGCCTTGCGCTGGCCGTGCCAAGGACGCCAACATCGCCGGCTCCGAAGACCCCAAGACGGAGGCTGCGGCAGAGGAGGCGAGAAGTCCAAACGTCGAGCACGGCTCCTTGTCGAATGCGGATCGAGCACCGCAACAACATTGACTGACGAGGGCACCTCTGCATGCCGCTTTTCTGTCACTGCTTGCGGAATTCTGTTTCTGGAGCAAGAGATCCTTGCGACATCTTGCGACCTTGGGGGAAGCGGGGTAGTCCCGACAGGTGGAGGCAGAGGTGACCGAGGGTCAGCCGCAGGCAGAGGCCGAAGTTCCGTCACAAGCGAAGCTGGGAATCTTGCACTTTGCCGCATGGCCTGAGGTGGTGAATGGCGTGACCAGCGTGAACGGCAAGGGTAAGGGCGACGGATATCCGAAGCCGGAAGGCAGTTCTGCTTGTCCTTTGTGTTCGCATCTGCCATCTGCCCGAGTCTTGAGCTGCAGGGGAGGTGCCAGCAGCCGGCAATGTTCCGGGTGAAGCACCCCCAGGGCAGTCGCCCCCCCAAATACCCGAGCCACGCCATGGCAGGCTTGCAGGGCCAATCAAAGAGCCCGAACTCGAGGCCCATACCTCCGATCAGACAAAGAGATCGCTTCGAGAACCTGCAGCTCGAAGAGGCATTGCATGTCGGAAGCGCCGCAAGTCCCACTCATGGACTCAAGCAGAGCACGGCTTGCAGACCTTCGCGAAGTTGGCGGATTTTGGGAACGGCATCAAGGCCCGCATCATGTGCCCAAGAGACGCGAGTCATGTTGCTACAGGGACGCTTCCCTGAGTGCTTTGCGTCGCCTCTCGGCTCAGCCGCCATAGCCGGGCCCCAGCCCTTCGCCTTCTGCAGCCGCTTGCAAGGTGCTGAGCCGGGCGGGAGGGGGCGCGCGAAGCGAAGCGCCCGTCCTTTGCTCCTCTTCTTTGCTTGCGCTTGCCGGCGCTGCCACAAAGGAGAAAAGAGACAGGAGCCGCCAAAAGCGATGGAGCTGGCCATGCCTCCCACGGAGGCCCGGCAGTCCGGCATGCCCTTCTCTCGCTTCTCTCTGGCGTAGCCGTGCCGAGCCCCCTCTGCGCCCCCCTTTGGCAGGTGTCGAAGGGCTTCGAGAGCGCGATGCCTATGCACGTGCAAGTTGGAAGCCTTGGCCAAGTGCCCCCGGCCATGCCCGTGACTGAGAGCTCCCAGAGCCAGTGCCTGCGGGCGCTTGCGGCAGGGCGAGTCGTGATTTGTCCCAGGTCGATGCAGCCACTCCCGCAACAGCAACTGCTCACCCGGCAAGTTGGAACGACATTCACTTGGAGCAAGCTTGATGTCTGAAAAGGCTGTATCAAGTCCAGAATTGTAGGACAAGTGAGACATGCATGCGTGTTCGAAGTTCGGCTCGACGGCAGTCTATTTTTTGCTGTCTTGAAGGGTCTTTAGTCAAGAGCCCTTCCATCCTGACCGAAACATGACAGGCAACAGCAGCTGCAACAGCAGCTCCTGAACCAGAAGAACCAGCAAACTATCCAGCAACATGCCTGCAGTTTGGCAGGCGATGAGCGATGAGAGTGAAGATTTAGGCTTTGTCACCCAGGACGCTGCTGCTACAGCAGTCCCTTGGAGCACAGTCCCAGCTGCCACAGGCTTCTCAGCCTCAGCAGGCCCGGGGTTCTTTAGTGACACGTCGAGCACAACGCTTCCTTGTCGACTCCCGGGCCCTCGGCCCTGCCCTTCATCCCTCCAAAGCCTTTCGTCTCCACTTGCAGAGGCTCCCTTGCCCAATCTCCTCACGGGCCGGATGATGGACCCTACCTTGGCCATGAAGGCCGGGCCAGATCCGGAGCAGAAAAGGTATGCAGTCGTGTATAGCAGTGTGTATGACTGCGTATATGTGCTTTCTGTAGTGTAACGCTTTCTGTATATATATGTATTTTTATATATATATATATATATATGTATGTATAGTACACACATACCTTTACATACAGATACCACATCTTTTGAGCACATCCTGTCCTGTTAATTCTTGGGACCAATGCTATCGCAAGGATCCATGACCCGTAGCTCTTGGGGAGAGTTGATTTTTTTCTGCATGCTTTGAGGGGGTGTCAGCGAGGAATGAAAGATGGCAAAGAAGATGGACGCCACCCAAACTTGGAGGGCACGTGGAGAACTGGAAATCCTGCAATCTTACTGGGCAGCACTTGAGCCCTGGACCTCACCGACATCTAATTTTTGACAATCACTTCGGGCAATCCCGTGACCAAGCCGGGTATCAAAATCCACTCCTGAAGGAGATTGCAAGTTGCGCAGTGTAACTACTGATGTGCTGCTGGCTCAATGCTCTTGGACGTGAGGTACCTGTACTGCACCCATCTGACCATGCGGTTCTTTACGGTTCTTCCGTGCCACTGCACACATCTGTGCCTGGATGAGCGATCATTGATGGTTACGTTTCATGAAGCCTGTTTCCAAGAGAGGATGCTGCACATGCAGCTTCGACCTCCGGAAGGGGTCATGAATGAATGAACAATGATGGACAGGGTGAGAAGACTCTGGGTCAGAAAGGACAGGTCGGGAAATGGTGGGACAACCTCAGCAAACCGGCCAGCGCGCCGAAGCAGATGTCGATGGTAGTGGTGATGGTGGTGGTGAGGGTGACGATGTATTGCGGATGGAGGTGATGATGAAGGAAACCAGGGCAGATGTTTCACAATGCAGGGCCAGCCGAAGCTCAGGAGGCGCGCAGTGTATATGTATGTACGATCCGGTGTACGAGACAGGTTGGATCTGTTGGGCAGTATCGCATGATGGAATGACGTATTGGCTTGCTTTCGCCGGTCATTTGTTTGTCTCCGCCCCTGGGCCAGTCGACTGCACCCAGTGCTTCGAGCGTGGCGACTGTCCCGGGCATGCCCCTGTGCCCGTGGACCCTGTGGCTGCAACTAGAAACCTGGAAGCTATACACAACTATTTTGCAGCTCGGGTTTGACAGGATCATGGGAAAGACGGTGCTTGTCGGACATGGCATACCAAGGATTTATCCTCTGGACATCGGCAATGGCGTCCTGTGCTCCCTGCCGCAGTTTTACTGGAGGACAAAATCGCCAACCCATTTTGCAGAACTGCAGACAGAAGGAGGAGCTAAGCCTTTGCTGTGCCAGGCCAGGCTGTTCAGGCTGGGCGGTGAGCCCCGTGTCCGTGCCATCTGTGCCGGTCGTGGGTGCGTTGGGCTCACGACTCAGCCTTCTGCGACAATCGACAATCACTGCTCACGGTCTGACTTGTCACTTGTCGTGGCGCAGCTTGTGAGCGTTTCGTCCACTTTGTCCGTCTGATATTCGTCTCTGTCTTCTTCGATCTGAGCTGATGCGTGTTCTGGGCTCAAGCATCCACAGCAAACCAAAGATGGGCATCAGGGCGTCCTGCATCTTGGCTGCACTAAGATAGCTGGCCATTCTGGGAGTTGAGCGGTTCACGAAACAAACGCCGAACCGCTGAACTCCCCGAGCCTAGAGCCGAGAAGTGACCAGAAGTGACCCTCAGCCCTCGCCCTCACCCTCAGTTTGGCTCGCACCCTCAGTCTCACTCTCACCCGTACACCCTCACCCTCACTCTACTTGTCACCCTCATCGTCACCCCCCCCATGCTCACCTTCACTCTCAACCCGACTCTCGCCCGCACTGTCCATGAATTCTTGAAGTCGTCGATGAGCGGCACGGGGTCAGCATGCCTGTACGGAGATCTGTGAGACTTTCGTTTTCCAGGCCAGCACTGTTCGCGTCTGGATGACCTCGAATGGCCAGTGGACGCCTGGCAATGAGGGGGAGCTAAGAGAGCAACACATCGCTTCGAGTCAGAGCCCTCCTCCGGTCCTCCTCCTCCTCGCTTTCCTCCCTTACCCGCCTTACCCTCCGCCCGGAGAGCGGAGAGCGGGAGAGCGGAGCGCGGCCTGTCGCCGAGGAGTTCTCCTCCGCGAGCTCCTTGGGCTCTTCTCGTTCGCGCGAGAGTGAGGACCTCGAGGCCCGGCCGGTGCCGCCGCTCTTTCGCTCTTTGGCGCTGCTCTTCTGGCTGCTCTTCGCCTCCAGGAGGTGAGTCCGGTGGCCTCCCTTGTGGTTTGCGGGCAGGCACTCGGCCAGGACCGGCTGGGCTGCTTTGCTTCTCCCATCACGATGCCCTTCGTCAGGATGTCAAGCGGTTCCAGTGGGTCCCACCAAAAGGCAAGGCACTATGACAGGATGCCACGGTGGTGAGGGAAGAGAAGGGATCAGAGTGTCCGGTTCCGTCGCAAGAGGCTGGGATGGCCATGCTCGCGCCCTGGAGATTTCGGTCGGGGCCACAGCCACTACTAAATCCGTTCAGGTATTTCGGGAAGATGGGTTGGTGGGGCCCGGGGCTTTCACTTCCGATTGATGGTTGTCAGAGCTATTTGGAAGCATATGTAATGTACTTGTTCCGAGGGTAGATTGGCTGTTTCGTGATTTCATGGCGACGTCGCTGAGTAATCCTGCTCAGGGGGCCTCATTTGGGCTCATGCAAAAGAAAGATATCTACAAACTACAGAAGTGTATTAAGACTCAGGCGGAATTCTGTTAGAGGGCACATAAACGGATGGAAAGGAGCTCAACCGATATTGTGGTGTGTTTAGCTGCCTTCTCGTATTCGCCATCTGGTTGCCTGAAACACATAAATGGAGGCTCGGAATACCTTCGATTGGGATGGCAGTCGTCCTGTACCTCCGCCAGGAGGCTCCGTCAGCCTTGCACTTTGTCCGCCACGGTGCGGGGTTGCTTTTCTGCCAGGCCGTCCATGGCTGTTGCCTTGCAGTGATGAGATGGCGCTCAGGCACGGGATTGCGAAAGTTGATGCAGTCGTTCTGAAAGGAATGGGAAGCCTCGAAGGATTGCAAGGCTCCGGAAGCCTTTGCGCGCGGCCGGATGGAAAGTCATCACCTCGCCACCCCTAATTATCGAGAGCCTGGGCGACAAGGCTCGCTGTGTGCTTCTTCCGAATCAGGCTTTTCCGCCTCTTCCCTTTTTTTGTCAGCTTCTCCAGAAGGCAAAGCTTCCGGGCTACGCCGCCAAGATTGGAAAGCTGGAGCCTCCTTTCTGAGCACGGCTTAAGTACTGGGCTTCGGGCTCAGACTGTGCCTCCCGTCGTGTTCTTGCCCTGTTGCCCCGGAGGACTTCCTTCCGCGGCACTTCGCGAAGCCTCAGGAAGCAAGGTATCCATGCATCTTGAAACCATCGCAGGCCTCGTTGCCCACGACCGTGACTGTGATTCAACAGATTCAGATGGTGGGAATACTCTTCCGGCTCAGGGCGAGTTCGGCAAGGATTCCTGGATCTGCCAGACATGGCAGGACGTGCACCTTGGACTCCTTGGACCATGGGATTCATGGGACCAACGAGAATGTCGGCGGTGCTAGTCTGCTAGTCTGCTAGTGCTGTCTGGGTGCTGTCTGGGTGCTGGGAGCTGAGGCGCCGCCATGCCCCGGACTTCGGGTCCGAGTCGCAAGGAGAAGCGACTTGGGTGCTGCAAGAGCTTGTCCCCGGCAGCGTGGAGCTGTCCGTGTCCATGCTCGTCTCTGCGGGATCCATACTGGATGTGGTGGGCATGCGCTACACCTATGACACTTGCTGGCACGTGGAGTTAGGTCTGCTGCCGCTATTCAGGCCTCCAGGATTGTCGGGTGGGAGAAGATCTTGGCAGAATGGTTGCCCCAGCTCAAATCAGGACAGGAGCATCTACATCTGGCCCAATGTTGTCGAGCTGAAAAAGGACAGTCGAATGTTCATCTTGTCACTCTGTTATCTGTGTTAGAGTGAGCCAGCGACGAAGCTTGGAAGGAGCTCTACGAAGTTCCGACACAGCACATCGATGTCCTGGCAGCATGCCCTGACGATTGGTATCCTTCAGACTTTGACCAGTTTGAAAAGCAGAGACGACTCGCAGGCATCGCACAAACCGCGTTTGCTGATAGCAGCGAAGGTAATGTTAATGAGGGCGACCGTTACAAGTCACAGCGCAACAGAGCTCGCGCGCCTGTAGCGACGTCGCAGCGCTGCGTCGGAGTCCGGTGCCCTTGAACAGCTTCGGCCCGACTTTGTCGGGCTGCCTGGGCTTGGCAGTGTCCAGCTACGCATCGGAGGTTTCGGCGACTTGCGTCACAGCTGTGCGTCGAATCCGCCTGTTCCGCATCTGTGCAGTAGTACAGCACCCCCCCCCCCCCGCACACCGCCAACATGGACTCTTGGTCTTGGGGCCTCCCTGCGACATCCGCGACAAACGCTATTGATTTCTCATGCGATGCCTTGCGCACCTCACAGCCGTAGGGTGCCTCAGTCTGTGGTGGGCACTGAGAGTCTGAGGCCGCCTTTGTCGGCGAATATGCCGCCTGGCTTGAGTGCCGACTCAGTGCTCTGCGTGATTCCGATCATTCCTTGCGGCCTAGCGATCCTGACACGCAAGTTCACGCAAGGATGGTATTCTGAATTTCAACTACAAGATCCGGCCAGACTCTTCCTGAGCAGGGCAGAACGTCTCAGTAATCCTCTGCTGTGAAACTACGACATTGTGGGCCAAGGATGGGAGGATCTGCCTCTTCGAAGTGCCGCTGTGAATTACATTTTTCCCCGCTGCAGCTCGCATGGGGCTTTGTGCTGTTCTGAAGCTCTTACACCAAGGAACACCCGCATCGGCGCAGATTTGGCTTGTGATGTTCCAAGGGAGCGGGCTCGGCAGCTGTTCTTGACGCTGGCCGGACCTGAATGTCGAGATTCTGTGGGAACATGAGGAGCTCTAAGTTTCCGCCCGCCAGGAGAAGATCCGTGGCTGAGGATGGCGACCGACTGCATGGGGAAAGCGTGAGACTTGAGCAAAGTTGTCACATAGGAATATGAAGTCAGAGAGACTTCAATTGATTGCAGCAGCCTCCAACTCTGGAGACTTCTTTGTACAGCTCCGGCTACAAGGCCTTCCTTGACAGGCTCGAAACCTGAAGAAGAGAGATTCGTGCCTTCAAGCTAGAGGCGACCTCGTCGAACCTCTGTTGAAAAGCGTTCCCTCCCTCGAATCCTCGAACATTTCGGACGCCTGGCTCCTTTGAGAGCCCACTGATGCTGTTCCCCCATTCGCGGGAGGAGATTCGTTGCAAATAGTTCCCATAGCGACCTACCTTAGACAGGTCTGGTAGACACTGCCCGTCTGCTCAAGCAGCAGGGCAGAGTGCACGACACACTGCGGCGAGATAGTGGAAATGCAGCGGGCGGTTTCAGAAGCTGTCCAAGCAAGGCCCTCTCTTTGGATGCTCTTGCCATCTCTTGTCGTTGCGACTAGATCAAAGGCTCTGCGCCGACGGCCTGGGACCAAGCGATAGTGAGAGCGAGAGCAGATGACTCCTGCTCTCTTTGGCCGAGGGCCTGCCCCTTTCAGAAATTGGCCGGGATCCCTGGAACACCTGGGACAACCTTCGTTCACCCCCACATTGACGGAATTTGCCACGGGAAGGTGGCAAATCTGCCGATGTGCCGGTAGATGTGAACCTGCCTCAGGCCTGGTTTGGTCTGAGACTCCAGTCTTTCCTCCGAGACTTCTCTTTCGCAGGGCAAGAAGAGAAGTGGACGCGGCAAGGGCAAGAAGGACCCGGGACCCGCCGGGAGTCTCGGCAGTCAGTCCTCAGTCTCAGCCTCGCTGCCAGGATCACTTCGAGGGCCTCACTGCTGCTCCCGTCGCTGTAGGCGGGCTCGGCCTTTAAAGCCCAGGTTGCGGCTTTGCGCTGCCTCGGCAGAAGAACGCCCCCTCCCAGGCGAGCTGCTCGGCAACGCCGCCGTGCTCGACGCGCTGGCAGAGGCCTCCGGACTGCTCCCTCGAGCTCAAAACCTCGAGCGGACTCGAGGGCCCAACGTTGCAGAACATAGCCACGACAGCGACGGAGGTCCGCCGGGACGGGGCGAAAAGCCAAGTTCTGCTAAGAGACGTCCTCTCCCACGCCTGGAGCTCGGGCAGTGATTGGATGCGAGAGGCTCGCGGAGAGGCTTTTGAACTCTCGTGGAGGTCGCCGAGCTGGCACAAGACTCGGAAGGGAGCCGCTTTTTGCAGGCGCGTAGCGGCATAGCGCGGCTCAGACAGGGCTTGGCCTTCGGACCATCGGAGTTGTGAGCCGTGACAGCCACGGCAGGCAAAGTTGGAGACTGCCAACACGGCCGAGCGCAGGGAGGTCTTCGACGCACTGCTTCCGAAGGCGACTGGAAGCGCAGTCGGCCAACGTCCTGGCTACGGCCTCACGTGCTCAGATGGAGATGCTTGCCGGAGACTCTTCCGGCAGCGCAGTGGTTCGCCACTCAGAAGACTCAGAAGACAGCCTTGCAAGCAAAGATCAGCTTTGGGAGTGCAGGTGCAGAAGTTGCTGGACATCTGCACACCAGACCAGCGTAGAGACACTCGGCCAACAATACGACTGCCACTGGCCCTTTAGCTTCCGTTTCCAGCAACCAGCAAGATTAAGAAGGCACCGTGAGCAGAGATTCGAACGCACGCAAGCAAGCGGGCGAGCTCTGTATAGCCAGTGCACAGTGCAACCGCTTCTGCAAACTAAAACCCGAACACCTGGACCTCGAGCCGTGCCAAGTCACAAAGCGAACGCGGCGCGGCCCGCAGAGGCCATCGTGGAGAAGTTCCGGCAGTCCGTTGTGAAGCTGTCCTTGAAGATGCACGGCTGCCGCGTCATCCAGAAGGCACTGTTTATCGCCTCGCTAGGATGACGGAGCCCAAAAGAAGCATCCGCTGGGAGGCGTTTCAGGTTTGCCCACCAGAACTCCAATCCATGCTTGCTGGAGAGTTGCGACATGGAGTGATTGCACAGAGCTCGGCCGCGGAACAGCACAGCTTATGCGATTGCGCCGTTGAGAAGACATATACTGGCTAAGGATTGCATCAAGAGCATGCATGGCAACCACGTGGCGACACCGTCATGTTGCTGCTGTAACCAACTTGCAAGGAATTGCCCCTGCTGGAAAGCCATGAAGCCATGCAGGTCCAAAAGTGCATTGAGCAGATGCCACCGGAGTCCGTCTCCTTTGTCGTGGAGGCTGTGGAGGCTTGCCAGAAGTCTTGGGACTGCAAGTGGAGCTCAGCAAGTGGCCTCCACGGGGGTGCAGGACAAGGCAGAAGCTATGGCGGCGCATATCTACGGGTGCAGAATCATCCAGCGCTTGCTGGAGTGAGAGACCCGCGCCGAGATCCGACGAAATGCGCAATTAGCGCGGTGGTTCCAAGGCACTGCACACCAAAGCGCCTGGAAAAGATGTTGCAGCAGATCCTCCGCAGACGCTCAGCTGAGCTCCAGGTTGTAACTTCAGCTGCTCTTTATTGCACAGCGTGCAGCATCTGAGGCATCACCAAACTGTCCACAGATCCGTACGGCAACTATGCGATGAGCTTAGAACAGTTTTCGTCTGTTAATCCTTCGCTGCACGTGTTTGCGAGAGCTTCAGCTGCAGGTCATTCGCCACATCCTTGAACATGGCAATCCGGAGCATAAGAGGAGCTGACATGCTCCATCATTTTCATCCGGCTGCGCCTGCCTCCGGTTGTTCTTCATCAGCTTATAGGCGTATCGACCTACAGGAGCATTGTGAATGAGGTCTGTGGTCACGTGGCTGCCTCATGTGGACTGACTGCAGTTGAGCAACATGTCCTGCACCGCCTTCAGAGGTTCTTGAGCTTGGGAAGGACTCCACCCTCCGATGCTCTGTCTTGCTTTGCCTTCCGTAGACTACAAGCCAGGATAAGCATGCCAGCAATGTGGTGGAGAAGTGTTTCGAGGCATTCGCAATGACTTTTGTCGAAGACTGCCGCAAGGAGCTTTTCCTTCCAAGCAGTTCACATGCCTTCTTCGTTCTGAAGGGATTAGCAAAGCGAGCCTAACGGATGAGAAGCTTTTCTGGACTGGGAGGCTTCAACCACCGGTGAACACGCTCGCGGCTGAGTCCAACTGTACAGTGAGGCGGAGAGTCTCCTCCTCTCCTTGGCACACGAAGGCGGCGTTCCTGAAGGAGGAGCGCCAGCGCCTGATCCGCGCCGTCCTGGGACCCGCACCGAAGGCAAGGGAGAGCAGCTCCGCTGCAGACTGCACCACAGCTCCACACTGCACATCACTGCACATCACTGCACATCACTGCACATCACTGCACATCACTGCACATCACTGCACACATCACTCCTCACTCCTCACGTGCTTTGTAGGATCCCTCGGACCGGAGCTCGCCGTTGGCGCAGCTGATGGATGACAGGCCGCAGCTTTCAGAGCCGAAGCCATACCCAACCGTAACCAACGCACCCCCTCTTCAACAAAAGCAAAGCCATGCAAAGCGCCTCTCTCTCGCTCTTTTTTCGCTCTTTTGCTCCTTGCCGGGTTGAGGTTCGGGAAGTACGTGGCGAACAGTTTGGTGGAGTACAGCAGAGGACCCGAGGAGCGCTCCGAGCCCCGAACTTCTGCCGCTTTGAGATGCCGTGTGCATGTCGCGGCTCTTCGGCTCTTGAGAGAGACTTCCCAGAGCTCAGAATACCAAAGAGATGCCGATTGCAAGCCATCGCCAAAAACGAGACTGCTTGCTGCGCGTCTGCGCGCTTTCAACGAGGCCGCTGACAAGCGATGCAGCGAGCAATCCAACACCTTTTTCAGCAGCCGAACATGAGAAGCGCCGCTGACCATCAGTCTCTCAGGAGCACATGCCACGTGCAGGTTCAAGGAGAAAAGACGCGACGTCCCTGAGCAGCCGCCCAAGAGCCGGAGAGCGAATCGAAGCAGCAACAGTCGGAAAGCAAGGCATTCAACAACAAGGGTGTTTTCGTGTGTGAACATGTGTTTTCCAAACTCGTCAGGGATTAGGTCTGCGGCAACACTCAGGTGGCTTGCAATTTAAAGAGCAACTCAGCACCGGGCCTCTGGGTGCACCGGGGCTTGATGGCGTGTGCAGGAGATGAAGGTCCTCTACAGTCGCATTGCCTCCTCACCCGGGTGGCAGCCTGAGTGTTCTGGGACAGAACGGACGCAGTCACCTCCTGGATTCCTCCGGACACAGGAAGAAGGCAGCAATCACCTCGCTGCTTGAGATGCCACGAGCCGAGAAGTCCTCGCGTTTGGCAGACCTTGGGGGAGAGTGTTCGAGGAAGCACAGAGGGTGTTTGCTCTTTACGTGTAGGTTGGAGAGGCAGCTTCAGCAGGCTCAGCTGCAGCAGCCCGGAGCCCGAGGACTGTGGTGCTGAATGCGAAACGGTTGCTCGGACTCGCAGAGACCCGCTGATTTGTTGAGGCATCAGTTTGCGCAGCAGCAGCTTATGCAGCTTCAGATGCGGACCAAGGCGCCACCGTCCGGGAGGGATAGAACACAGCAGAACAGGGAGATGCAAGGCTTGTTATACTTTGTTGTCTGATGATACAGGGGGAGGAACTGGCAAGGGCGCTCTAAGTAAAGCGCCCGTGGCCCATAGCCCGTTTCAAGGCCTTCCATGCCTTCTATTTCCCTGGTGCACCATGTTGATGCCAAGCCATGAAGACGCCACCCCCAGGACACATGCCTGAACCATGATTTCATTCATCTGTAGCTTGCTCGAGCTTAGGGCGAGCATCCGTCCCCCACGTCCATCCCCCAGTGTGTAGAGTTACAAAACCTTCTGTGCCCTAGCCATGATAATCATCAGATAGCGGGCATCCATCTCCGAGTGCACAGGGTGACGACAGCATCCGTGCCCTAGTCAGGACGACATTTAACTTGGGGCGTCTTGGGGCCTGCTTGTTAGTTGTCTTGTCTTATCACTTCATGCTGCCATGAGTTCACGTGCATGCACATCCATGTTGTTGCCTTTGTTGGTCTTGTCAAGGGCGCAAAGTGAGCTGAGAGCAGCTGTGGAGGCCAGCGATATCTCGAGAGTTGATTGGTGAGTTTGGTGATGTTCTCTCGGGGGTGCGGCTCCTTGACAAAGCCTAGGTGCCTGAGCCTTTGGAGTGACGGCAGCCCCTGTGTCTCGACCAAAGCTCTCGCGTGCAAGCTCGGGCAGTGCACGCGACGGCAGCCCAGGTACCGAAGGGCCGCCTCGGCCCCAGACCTTGCAAGTCACTGGGCTCCACGTTCCGGGGGGAAAAGAGGCCCTTCGGCTCAGGTCGGGCCTTGCACAGAAGGCAGGACAAGGGCCTTTGCCAGGGTCCTAAGCGGCTGGGACTTTGGGGTCTCCTGGCCCCTGTTTAGCTGCCGAGGACCAAAGGCGCTCAGCTCCGGCTGGGTCGAGGCAGCATCGGACTTTGCTGTGTGCTGCATCCCGAAGGATTCTGTGCATGCTGAGGTGTCCGTCAGGAGAACTGAGCACAGCCCGTTGAATGACACAGATTCTTGAGACTTAGACTCAGACCTGAAGGTGTGGGGTGTAAGGGAGGATTGGTGAACAGGTGTAGTCAGCCTTTCGGATTCAATGGAAACATGTTGAGTTTTTCAACCGCCATGCCCGTGAGTTCGCACGATGTTGCCTAAGAGTTCACAAAGCGACAACGTCAAGAAGGCAACGTCGAAAGAATTCTTGAAGCATGGAGTGGCCTGCAGAACAGTTTGAATTTTTGCAGCACGGTTGTGCAGCTGCAAGCTTGCACGCCCTCAAACAGCGGTGCGAGTTCGGGACTGGTGTGATTTCAGCTTAGTGGGATATCGAGGCTTGCAAAGGCACGCACAACAAGCTGACAGCATCAACGCTGCGAATGCTTCTCGATGAGTGAGTGGGTCCGGCACAGCCTTCGTCATGCTGGCTCTGTGTGTGAAACCTAAAATTGGACCTAAAACCCACAGGACAAACAAGCTTTGCCCAAATTACCGCCGAACATGTGTGACATGCCAAAGCCAGTCTAGTGTCTGCCAGATCTTCGGATCGCTATGTACAAATGCACTTGGCAAGTGCTGCAAGTCTCTGAAGCGGTGTGGAAGCCCGTCACTGGAATTAAGAACTCGCTCTCAGAGGTATTTTTGCCTTCCGCATGCTTCAGCCCCCAGGTCACCAGCTCACTCAGAGCTTTTGAAGGTGCCGCAAAGCATGATATGCCAAAGCGTGCAGCATCCCTTTAGCACAGTGTTGCTTGTCGACCCTGCTACAGGCCATTGGCGGGTCATGACGTACCGTTGCTGACGAGAATTCGCATCTCAATTTTGAGATTTCCCGTAATTACGGATGGTTCCCTGCAGAGCCGCCGAAGTTATTCAGTTGCCTTCTTGCAGTTCCTTTGAGCTACGGGAAATTCCACGATGCATCGTTTCCGGACTCCGGAGTGATGTGTCCTGCGCACAGACGTTGTAACGATGCTACAACGTTCTTGCACGGGTGGCAGGCTTTCGCGCTTCGCCCTCTGCATTCCGTCCCTTTACACACCGCTGAAAGCATTGCTAGGGTCCTGTCCTGCAGTTTGTCCGTGCCACCTGTGTTGTGCTTCCACAAAGAGGAGCACTCGAAGCACAGAAATAAATGACGGCTTAGCCCAGAACAAGGCGTTCAAACAGAGTGCACGCGGCTGGGCTCAGCGCTTCTGTGTGTACAGTCTGCCTCGCCTTTGCCGTTGCAATCCGAATAAGTTCCAGCCGCCTTCAAGACGATTTGGAACACAGGCGAACAACCCGGTGACGGATGACATTCAGACGCGGCAATATCGATCTCCCGAGGCTTATTCTGACCCTTTCGCAAACTCTTGGGGTCCATGCCAGCTTGAGCAGGTAATCATTGGGGCCAAGTGGGACGAGACGGCAGATGTGGCGTCCTTGCCATCGTTCCACTTGAGCCTGGAATTTTGTAGCAGTTTGACAGGTCTGGAGTGCAGCCTGCATGTTCTTCGAGCTGGCGACGGGCGACTACCTCTTCGACCCCAAGAAGGGGGAGGTGGGCACGTGTCGGCAAGGAACGGACTCCAACCGGCGTCCCCCCCGTGCAATCCGTGCATCCAGGATTGGAATCGGGAGGAGGACCACCTGGCCCTCATCGCCGAGTTGCTCGGAGACCTGCCAACGAAGGCACCCGGGCACATCACGGGAAGTTCATGCAAACCAGCGCTTGCCCGTTTGCCCCAAGGAGTTTGCGTTGTCGGGGCGCTACTCCAAGGTGCAGCTGGCCGTCCGGCAGTCCGGCAGGCACGGGAGACACGTGCAGCGGCTCGCACCGGGAGGACTTCTTCAACAATGCGGCCAAGCTCAAACACATCAAGAAGCTGAAGCGCGCTCCCGAAGCCTTGCTTCTTTCTGTAGCCGCACTGACACACACACGGTCGCGCTGAGCACCGTCTCTTCTGCCACGTTTCTCTGCAGGATGTGGCCTCTGGAGGGCGTCCTCCAGGAGAAGTACCGCTGGGAAGAGGCCGAGGCCCTGGAGGCCGGAGACTGAGAAGCGAGCTGCGCGCTCTTCGCGCTTTTTTTGTGCTGAATGCATTTCTTCTTGTCGTAGACTCTGGGGTTTCGTGAGCTTGGGTTTTACTGTGAGATGGCGGACTTCCTCCTGCCGATGCTGACGTGGCAGCCCAGCCAGCGGCAAGCCGCTTCCGAGGAATCCGCCTTTCGGGCTTTGAGCGGGGGCTGCGGGGCCTGGGATTCGCCGCAAAGCTGCGCCGCCCGCATGCGCCGCGCCCGGGCCAGGCCTTGAAGCACGCCTGGGTGCAGCCGCGCAACGGCGAGACGGATACCTGGCATGCGCCGCCCGCCTTCGCCTCGGCTCCAATCGGACCTCCGGTCGGAACCTTCCCGGCACCATCCTCACTGCTAAGCAGCAGGTGCCTCAACGCTGCGATGGCGAGAAGACAGAACAGGTGGGTTGTCGTTTGCGACTGGCCACCTCGCGCGACGCGCGGCGATGCCATGGGGGCGGCACAGGTGTCTGAGAGCGTCCAGGAAGCGCCTGCATCGCCTACCACCCCCGAGGAGGCATTTGAACGAGACAGTTGTCACTTCTGACCCGCAGCTGTTCTGCTGCTTTTTGCCGTCGTTGATGTCGAGGCGCTTAGGCCTTGAGGCTTAGTGCTAAGGCCACTTAGATGTCGGAAGAAACCGAGCCGAGAGCCAAGTCTTTCGTATCATCCTCGTATCGTCGTCGTCGTCGTCGCTGATGTGCAGCGGCAGCATGTAAGAGGCCAAGCCCGAGCGAAAAGGCCAGACACCTCATGAAACAACCTTGGCACTTGAGCTTCTAAGTCGGCTTCGTGTGCTTTCTGCCAGGTTTGAGATGGCCATGCCCAGACTTGGATTGTTGGTTCTACCTCCTTTAAGAGGAGGACGACCCTGCTTCAAATGGCGCCACAAGGGAGGCATTTTCCGTGGCCAGCAGATAGCGGGCAGAAAGCTTGCACTCAACTTTTGGAACATTGTGGGGCTTTGTGCAGATGAGTGCAGCCATCGCAGCCGTCATGCCCACAAAGCTGACATCGCTTGTGTGAGCCGTGGGACTGGCGGCGACGTTTTGAAGCGCGTTCTTACGACCACCGTCCGATCCCCTCGCAGGTTAATTGTTTGGTGCACAGATCCGCATTAAGACTTGCGTCGCCTGCATCGGGGAAGAAGTTGCAGGTTTAGAGTCGAAGCCCGCTGAAGGGCTGGGGTCTCGAATGGTCTCGAGTCTCGAGTCTGTGGGTGACGGCAAGGCCCATCGCTGGTTTGCTTCGCTCGCGCTGGCTTAAGAGACCTGAGATTGAAGTTTAAACGCACAAGAAGCATCCTGTATGGAGAAGCAGAGGGCTCTCCCGGCACAACGTTCATGGAGAAGTCGAGGGCCGGGCCCTGCAGCGTTCAGCCATCGGAAGGCTTTTTCCCAAGAGCAGTGCCATGACACCAAGAGACAAGTGCGGGAGTGCTCGATGAAAGTCGCCCTTCTGTTTCTCTCTTGGGTGCCGAGCCGAGGATGCGTCGGGATGCACTCTGTCGTACTCCGTTGCTCTTTTCTCTCGGCTAAGGTGCTCTCTGAGCTGGGACTGGGAGCTGCTTCGGAGGATGCCCAAAGCCACAGCCTAGGTTTGAGGGCGAGCTGGGACTTTTTCTTGTGGCGTCTTTGCTCGCAGCCCGAGGCTGGTGGCAGTGGCCCTGGTCGCTCTTTGCAGGCTCCGGGCCGTTTCGAGCCATATAGATCTATGTACGCTGCACTGCCTGCACCAGGATTCCGAAAAGAAGACCTTCAAGAGGTCATTGAGGACTCGCCGCCTCAAGATTGTATGGATGCGAGGGAGTCTGCGAGCAGTTAGGAAATACTGCCTCGTGTTGTTCGCTGTCGAGAGACATCATGCGGACACTCGCGGACAGCTCCGGGTCACTGCTCAGTCGAGGAGGCCTGTCCGAAGCCAGAAGGTCCTGTTGAAGAGCGTGATCCACTCAGCCTGCACAGCTGCCAGCTCCACTGACACGCTGCACTGACCCCGTGAAGTGCAGGTCACGCAGACGCCTTGGAAGTGCTGCTTGCAGAGGCCACGGCGGGTTTGGGATCGCCGAGCGCGAAGCTTCAAGTGCCTGCATTTGCAGAGGAGCGCTGCCCGTTTGTGGCTGCATTCTTCTCGAGCTCCTCACCGCTGTCCCAGTCGGCAAAGCTTGTCCTTCGGCATGCATGTTGGAATCCTCACTCAGCGTGAAGAATCGATGCGATGGGCAGAGGCCCTGACAGAGCAGAGACTCGCGAGCTCCTTCCCGGCCTTGAGATATGCTTCTTGGGCCAAGTCCGAAGCGCGCGATTCATACTTTCTCTAGTGGCCCATTGCCGGTTGTCGGTTCGTTCAGAGCCCCGTCCAGCAGCCAAGATCCGAGTCGAAACTGAGCAGATGAGCATTCGCACCTTTCTGCAGAGCTTTGGCTGAGAAGCTCCAACGTGCCGACGTGTGGTGGTGGTGGATGTCGAACGGATCGTGTTTTCTCAACCAGCAAAGGTGGGATATTAACTACTTGCCCACCTACGTCTTGTTCTGGCCATCAAACTCATCAAGCCCCTGGCAGCGCTGGCAATCCGGAAGGCATGCCAATCCGTATGTTGCCCGTCAGCAGCGTGCTTCGAGTAGATGAGTCGCGTGTGCATGAGCAGATGAGCGGCTTTGCCGGTTTGAGTTTCAGTTGGCATGGAGCTCCAAGGATTACGGAGATGTGTCCGCGTGGATCGCGCAAGCCACAGGCGGACGGGTAGATTCATGGTAGATTCAGCAGCTTTCGAGATTGTCTTGCTGCGTTGGCGAGGGCTGGTCCCACAGAACAGCTCCCATCTGTCGGCGGGGCCTGTCCCAGTGCGGGGCAGCCGCTCCTCCCCCCTGGGCTTCGGCTGGGCGCTGGTGGCTCTGCTTTATGAAGCAATGAAGCCACGCATGCGCTTTCTCAGAGCTGTGAGCTGAACATTGAGGTGGCTATCGCTGTGCTCCACAGACTTCTCAACCGGACACCCTTGGAATGAGAAAAGGTCAATACCAGAGCGTTCGTTTTTGACTCCAGCCGCTGTGAAAACAGACAATCAGGCAACCTGTTGATGGGGCACGAGGCGCATCGAAATGCCTCTTCGAGGCTCAAGCAGGCAGTGAAGGAAGCCCCTGGCGCTTGGCCATGGCAAACGGTGCCCTCAGTGCCCTTGAGCTGCAGTTTCTACGTTCCGGCGGGAATCCTTTCTTGGGTTTGGTGGGCCCTCATTCGCCCGAGGCCCTGCTCCATATCCTGGGCCTCGTGCTGGTGATCTTGGAGCCTTCGTCGCAGAAACAGCACACGACTCATCACTGTATCCTTCGATGCTTGGACCCTGGAACGACAGATCCAGGGGGAAGTGGCAGAGCCGTGTCGGTATGAGGCGCGAGGGAACCTTTCGCGAGGCTTTGACGTAAACTGTGCGTAAAGTGTGATAGCGTGTGAGTCAGGAACCGCTTGGGCTGTTGTGGTCCTGCACGTGTGTTCGGGCTGATGCAAGCTGTCCACGATGCGACTTTTCGGGTTGATTTCTGTGGGGTCTCTGGTGTAGCGATGCGATTCTGTCAGACGCTGTGAAGGACCAGCCCTGGGAGGCGAGAAGACAAGAAAAGATGAAGAGGGGAGGGCGGCAACACCAGCAGCAAAAGCAAACCACACCACATCACACCACCAGCAGCTCACCAGCAGCATCATGCCGCTGGCAGCTGCACAGCCGAGGACTTCCTAATATGGATCTTGACGCTCGGCCACGACCCTGAGAAGAAGGACTTGTGCAAGAGACCGGCGGAGTCGGCCACGCTTCGACGAAGCTTTTGTCGCCCTAAGGCCCGGTGTGGATGCTGCAGAAGACTTTGGCCGGGGTGCCGGAGTTCGCGCGCGCGAGGCTCACATCGAGACGGCACAGCCGGGGGAGTCCCTCCGCCTCTCTCCCTCTCTCCGCCACTCTGTCTCTGTCTCTGTCTCTGTCTCTCTCTCTCTCTCTCTGTTCCGCCGCCGAGGGCCGGTCCGGAAGGCGAAGATCAACGGCAGCGGCCCGGGCTCGGACGCAGCTCCCTCGGTCTGGGCAGCGCCTTTGGCGGCGGCTGCGGACACGCGCCGCGCTTCTGCCGAGGTGTGGCAGGCGACGCAGGCGGCCGAGGATGGGAAGCTCCTCACGTCTCCGCATCCAGCGGAGGCCAGGCCGAGCGGCCGAGGCGGGCGGAGGGCTCGAGATCGGAGCAGCAGCCTTGAGAAGGGCGTCTTCACCGTCTTCCAGATGCTCGACCGCTCCTTCAAGCGCTTGACCCTCAGTGTACCACATGTTCAGGCCACTGGGAGAAACATCCGCCTCCCCTGAGCAGCCAGAGCGGCTGGCACTCTGTTCTCATGCATTGTGCTTCTTGCAGTGGTGCGTGTAATTGCAACATCTGTTTCAAGGGCAAACCAAACAGCTTTGACTGCGAATGCATGTTAACATATGTCAGGTCGTGTTGTGCGAATGTGACTGCTTTCGTCGCTGCGTGCCAGAAAAAAGCGTTCCCGAGTCCTGAAAATGGCTCCGCAATCCATACGATATTGAATTACAAACCCTCATCCGTAAGCCGACCGGGTGGTTCAAAAGCACCGTACAGCAGCTGTCCGACGTGAAATTACTCGAATCCTGCCGACCCAATCTCAGCTCGTTCCACAAGCCCCGTAGAGGCATCCTCCCTTGAAGGTACTTTAGGGTTCTAATCCCGCACTCTTAAGACTAAGGAAGTGCCCGAATTAGCTCGTACGAGACCTCATGTCATGTGATATACCGTACGCATGTAGCGCTCTTGGGAAAAGGGTGAAACAAGTGCGATATTTTGAAGCAATCAGAGTCCTATTCTCTCAGCTGGGGATATGTAAACGACCGGCAAGATGCTCCCATTTGAGGGCGGGGTGGTCTGCTTTGCCTGAATGGAGGAGGGCGAGAGCGAAAAGAGACTCACGGTTCTCCGTGTTTCGCGCTGGAATCCTGATGCCGAGGGTATGCCACGAGCAAGGCGCAGGGCATCAGACCTCTGCTGTCCTGGAAGAAGGCCGTCATTCCAGGAACCTGCCATAGATGCCCCAGAGATGTGTGCCCCGAGGAGGAGGGATATCGATTTCCTGCAAAGGCTGGTCACTCGGCATCCCTCGAGCCTCTGCTCGTTTCGTTTTGCCTGCTGAAGGTGTTCGGTCCGACTCAGTGGAGGACCTATGCAGAGATGGGCAAGCTTTGCAAGGCTCGCACATCCTTGGATGCCAGCGACGAAGAGAGAAGCTCAGCTCGTCCTCTGTAAATGCCTTGATGGCCAGGAGTTCGGAGCTGGGCTCAGAGCGCTTGGCTTGGAGTTGGGAGCTCGGGGAGCTCAAGAAGCTCTCGCATTGCTGAGGCAGCTGTGTGGCTCACCGAGGCCGCAGCCTGAAGGTGACTTCGACAGCATGACTGGGAAGTTCAAGATTCTCATGTACGAGGTGTGGCTTTTGGGCTTGGGCTCAGCATGTCGGCTGCGGGCTTTAATGTGCTTGCTTTATTGAGGACACCTGTGCAGACTGGCAGATCTGCGCGCTTCTCCGGCAGGAGTTTCACCACTGCATCTGGATGAGCGGAGCATTCACTGCAATTCGTTGCCAGGTATGGAGCGCTGACGCAGAACCTAGTAGTTGCCACTTGCTATGCCACCCTCGGAACTGATGCGGTCGTCCATGCGGTCAACGAAGGTCCGGGGATAAGTTGCAGAGTAGCTTCGCGTGATGCTAGCGATGCTTCGCAATGACGTCGTGTCTCCCTCGCAGGCGCAGTTACCGCCTTGGTCTGCAACCGAAAAGCTGCCGAGGGCCGCTCATCCCAGCGCATTGCAGCGCCGTGCGCGCTTTCGATGTTTTTCTCAGCCTTCAGTCTGAGGGCTCGTGAAGATGGCCTCCGAGATGCCTTCCCTGGAGGCAACTCAGGCTCAGTCTGCCTGTCGTCCGTCTTTGCCCGCCGTCGTCCAGGTCATCATCTATCTGGACAACCTCTGCACGTTTGCGACCCAGGACCCAGTCCGCTCTGTGCCCTTTGCTCATTTGGCCGTCCTGGCAGGCCGGATGAGTGCAAGCACCGCCTGACAGCCGCGGGCAGCGTGAAGTTACTGTCACTGCATTCTCGGCGGAGCTTATCTCACTGTCACCATGATGCATGGCCTGTCCATGACGGTTTTGTTCAGGCAAGATGTCGTCGACCTGGGCAAGGCACGGCAACAAGCTTGCCCAGCCAACTGACAAGTCTTGCACGCCGGAGGCCAACCTCGTGGAGCCTAGCCCTCCGAAGCCGGAATCTGTGGCAGTTTTGATGTGCGCGGCCTCCCTTCTTAGTGGTCAGTGTCAGTGGTCTGGGTTAGGTCCCGGGCACCGGGCACGCCTCGCAACACAAAGCCCTGATCTAGTGCGGAAGGTACACCAGCGGCTCGACAGGGACGCCGAAGGTCTCGGCACAGAAAGTTGTGAAAGGTTTCCAGTACAATGCTTCACGACAGGGTGTGGTGCTGCGACACTCGCAGCTTGTTGCCTTTGTTGGATCTTGCGTGGATCTCAGTTTTCCATGGTGGCCGAGAGTGTGATTTTGCAAAGGGCCGAGATGCAAAAGGTCTCTCTGACAGCACGTAACAGTTGACGTAACAGGACACAAGCAGTAGCTGCGTGAGCACCACGCAAGTTGTTGTGTTGGCTTGCAGAAACCATCCTCAACCAACTTCAACCCGAGGACAGCAGTGCAGACATGAGGGCCATGTGATTGACTGCGGTTTGGAACCAGAGCGAAGACATGCTTCGGTTGGCAGGTTTCATGAAGTTGTGCGGAACTGAACACCTCAACAACTACAAGCTTTGAGGGGGGCTGTTTCGTCCAAAGCTCGAAGCAGTCAATTCGAGCAAGATCGCGCACCAGTAAAATCGCCAATGCCGTGTCTGACCTGCCACATTACCCCAATCTCCACGCTGGCCATCGCCTGTGCCTCCTCCTCGTTCGGAGCTCAAGCAATAGCTCTCCTTTCGGGCTGCTTGTGTGCTGACTGTACTCCGAAACTTCTCCCACTTGCCAGACTTGATTGCTGGAAGCGCGAAACTTCAGAAATGTTTCTGGGTGCACGGTTTGACGAAGCCCAGCCAGCAACATAAGATGCATACAGACTCATGCTTTTCCTGTCGTGAAGGTTACATCCAGTTCGGCGCCTTGATCTACGAAGGTGCGACAGGGAGGAGCCGTGGGATGAAGTCGTCCCATTGGCTGGGGGAGGTGGCGAGATGTTCATCGGCTATCTGCCTTTGGCCCACATTTTGGCGGTCGCTGCAGAGCTGTGCCCTTCTGCGGCTCTGAGAGTCTCCCTGACTCGAGCTTTCTCTCTTCAGGTACTTCTATTCGACCGGCAACTGCGTGGGCTATGCCGATGCCAAGTCCCTGCTTGCAGGCGACGGTCCCGAAGCGGTCAAAGGGTGCGTTTGGAGGCGGAGGCCTCTCTCCGGAACTCTGAGGTCCCGAGAGGTGCTACCCGCTGGGTGGCCTGCAGGAGCCGAGAGCTGAGGACCCAAAACTCCAAAACCCAAGAGCAGAGCGGCCGACGCATCTCCGTCCCTCTCTGCTCTCGTCCTCATCTCCGAGTCTTCCTTATCCCGCTTGCTCCGACCTCTCTCTCTGCTCTGAGGTTCAAGCCAACGCTGATGGCCGGCGTACCCAAGGCTGTGGAGCCGTTCGGGTGCACGAGATTCGAGGGATTGCCTGGCAGCTTGGCAGGTTTGGGAGACGATCAAAAAAGGCGGCTACCTCAACTGGGGCTTTGGGGCCTTCGTTTCAATGCAGTGCTCCTCCCTCCAAGCCTGCAAGCCCATCAAATGTGGGTGTGAGACGAGGCTCCCGACAGGGCCCCAAGACTCCAACTTGTGCTCTCAAGGTGCGGAGGTGAAGGTCGAGAAAAGCGGACCTGTGTCTGGCTCTTACTGACCATGGGCCAGTCCTCAGGACCTTTGCAGCAGCCTCTGTCGAAGCACACGGTTTTGGGGCCGCATGCTCCGAGGGTGTCCTTCCTTTTCAAGTTGGCCATGAAGGTGAAAAAAGTAGCGGCCGGCTCCCCAGTCAGGAGATGGAGCCTGCCCTGACGGCTGGCGTGCATTGAGATCTGCAAGCTTGCAGCTAGCCTTTTTCTTCGCACAAGAGAGCATCTGTCGCGTGAGGTCCGTCAGAACCGGTACACTCCTTTGTTCGACCTTTTGGTGCTTAGCTCAATGTCTCTCCGTGCTTTGCAAGCACTTTGATCGTGCATGCTGCATGCTCCGTTAGGTTTTCAAGAAGTTTAAGTCCATGTCGGATGCTTAAACCCTGGGCGAGCGGCTGTCTTTCTTGAGCCATTGCCATTGGTGCTTGAGGCTTGGTGGCAGCATGAAGTTTACACTCTCTGGCGGCGGTGCCATTTCCGGAGAAGTCCAGGCTACGCATGGTGGAACGGGGGTCCCCGAAGTAAAACTAAGCCTGCTATCTGGGGCTACTTTGCGCAAGGATTTGCAGCCTGGGGCTACTGGTCTCCGAAAGCGTGTCTAGTGCTGGTTCGTGTGTCGCGCGAAGGAATGGGTCCGGGCCGTTGGCTTGGAGTTGTCCGCGCTCGTCTGCGAGTGCTCTGCGCGATGCTCTGCGACTCTCAGGCGGCTTTCTCTTGCCCTCTGGTGCAGGGTTACGGCCGCGGCCTCGCGTCGCATCGCGTCGCATCGCGTCGCAATCGCCCGTTTAGACGCTTTGAGCGAACTCCGCCTTCAGGGCTCACCGAGACCTGCGGGGGCGCCACGCCACACTGGCCAGTTGTACTGTTGTTTGGCAATCAAGAGACCTGGCCCTGGCTCTCCCCCAGGATCCAGAGCCCCCTGGATCCCAGCATCGGGGCCGTGGGCACACCCTTGGCCTCCATCGAGGTCACTCTACACTCCGAGCACGGGGTCCCAGTGTGTCAGAGTGGGAGCACGGAAGCAAGGAAGTCTCTCTGCGCTGCCTTCGCTCCCTCAGCTCAGGCCAGAGCTCAGCGACTCCGCCGGCAAGCCTTACCTTTGCACGGATCAGGCTCCGCCGGCTTTTGCCACAAAGCGAAGAACGCTCCGAAGTGAAGGCTCACTTCGGGGATCCTTGCCGCGGCCGTGGCGAAGTCTGGATCAAAGGCACTACGCAGACTTCCGTTTCGATGTGGCTTGATCCCGCCCAGACGAAGTTTGTCACCTCGGCCAGGCTTGTCCGTTGGATCTGGTTACTACAAGCTTCCGGACAAGACGGTGACGTGCTCGGACTATGCAGAACACGAAGATATAGTGTCAGACATGCAGATGCCCGATGACTTTAACTTTGCTTGCTGTCCCTAACGGCACCGCCGCGCCGCCTTGCCTGACGGAGCACGCATGATCATGAACATGTTCAACGATGTTCCACCAGGCAGAGGACTTTGACAAGGACGGGTGGCCGGCCGCCTGAAAGCCTCAGCTGACGCTTTGCTCTGGAGTGTGAGCAGCGAGACAGCGAGGTTCCACACAGGCGACATTGGACTCATCACGCCAGCAGGCTCCCGGCTCGCTGGTTATCTTTTTCAACCTTTTTCCTCTCTCCCTCTCTCTCTCTCTCTCACTGTTTCGCGATCTAGTTGTTTCTGCCTGTCGCAGGTCAAGTCAAGATCATTGACCGAAAAAAGAATCTTGCTTTGACCCCGGTGGAAGCGATGGACGCATCCTCAGACGATTTCACGAGGCATGTCCCTTTCGGAGAATCTGAGGTCAAGCTCAAGGGCGGCGAGTATGTCGCGCTTGAGATGATCAACGTCCGGACCGCTGTCTTCAAGAGGAGGAAGGCTTTAATTGAGATAGTTGAGAGACGGATGCGTGAAGGTTACCTACAACAACGCAGATATCATCAACGCCGACGCCGGAGGTGCGCCAATTCAATGCTGGCGTATGCTGGCATGGTGGTTCTGCAGCTGCAGGTGTTTGCTGCTTCGCAAGCCACGAAATCGATCGGCCGGTACTGCTCGCTCAGTGCACTTGCCCCAGGAAGCACCCACCACATTCCAGGTGTCGCTGCCTATTGGTCTGAGGCAAACGGAAAGAGCTGCTGGAGCTTGCAGCCAAAAGTGGAGCCTCGGACCTACAGCCTCGCCCATGTAACGAGCGCATCAACAAAATCAGGCTTTGCTGCACTGCCAAGGTCACTGGAAAAGATGGCGAAGAACTCTGCAGAGATCCCAAGGCCATTTCCAGGAAGTGGACGTGCATGTAACTTGACGTGCGAGCACAGCTTTGGTTGAAGGTGATGGCTGCAGTGAAGGCCGCTCTAGACGTGGTTGCGAAGGCCGTTGAAATCGAGCATCTGCGCGCAACAGCCGAACTCTGCGACAGGCGGGAAAGCTCCCTTCCCTGATGCAAGCCACGGCTGTCATGCCCGTGTTGGAGCCATGGACAGCCCCGGGGTCCAAGTGCACCCGTGAATTCGGTGTGATGTCGAGCCTGACGATGAAGGATGCTCTTGTCTGCTCGATGCGCAGGACGCCAGACAACGGCTGTCTCACAGCGACTTCGAAGCTGGGCCCTCTTTGCTGTCTGAAGTCTGTGATGTTGAACCCATTTTGAATGCAGGCTTGTGCCAAAGACAATCTACAAAGTCCACGAGAAGGCATCCAACCTCGTCCGCGAGTGCGATGCTCACCAGTTTCTTGGTTCGTCCGCTCACTCCTGCCAGTTCCACCGGCTTCTGTAGTGGGGCTGAAAGGGGGTCAGCAAATCGGATATTGCAATGCACTCCAAGTCTTTTTTGGCTTCGGCACAAGTGCCGGGGTTCGCAGTCATGACCATGATTGCGAAACGTTGTCGAGCCGAAGTTTCCGTCTTGCTCGGAGCTGATCATGTGGAGCTGTGGTCGCAGCTCGTGCCATGCAATCAACAGTCGATGAAGCATCGAAGGATGGTAGTGCAAATCAGTACAGTACGGACTGATATTAACATGTGCAGGACCTCGACATCTTGAAGCCGTGCTGCCGTCCTGTTTATGTGCAGCATCTGGAGCAGGATTCGCAAACAGTCGCTCGTTGAGATCTTGGGTCAGGATGGCCATGAAAGGATAGCATCTGCGAGGGAATGCTGAAACACCGTTTCTTGCCGGCCTGAACAGAATCGCCGAAAAAGCGACATTCCCGGCAATTGTGTCACCCTTATTGCGCATTCAGCAGAACAAGAGGCGCAGCGAGCGGCCGTTCCAGGCATTGATTCAAAACAAGATGCCAGCCGCATCATGCATGGCCTACCACCGTGGATGTCTTGATGCCCTGAAAACGATTGCACGATAACGGATGAATTCCCACGTCATGTGTCACTTTTCTTGCCACTTGCTTTCGATTGATCCGGATCTGAGCAAGGTCGAGGGAACACCAGAAGCGCACTCGGTGTGCACACATTTCGCAATATATTCACTTAGCCGAAAACGGCCCGCACCCCACGCGTTCATGCATAGGTCAAAACCGCACCGATGGCGCTAGCCGCTAGCGAAGAACAGAGCCCCATGCTCACTTCGATTGCACGAGTCGCTCAGCAAAAAAATGGTGAGCATAAAGTGTACTTGTAGAGCTGAACTTAATCGTCATAGCCTAGCTTGTTGCATCAGTGCATCAGTGACATATTTGCAGTGCTTTGTATTCGATATACCGCCGCCTGTTCCAAGGCCTCGAGCCAGCTCTCGTCAAAGTTTGGATAAAGTCGGGTTGCGGCAACAATCTAATACTCATCGTTCCCAGCCCGCCGGCAACATGACGTGCGACAAAGTAAAGAGCGTTGCCAGTTGCGTCGCACCATACTCCAAGTTTGGCACGGGATGTGTCTTTGGGCTTGGCATTGCCCGATCCCAATTGCTGCTGGCATCAGCCTGCCGCGTCAGAGAGCACCACTTCTTGTCAGCGTATTTTCATAATTAATGTCAAGCTCGTGAGCGCATCGGAAGTTGTGAGAACTAGTAACTAGTTTCTCAAATTCAAAAGGTCCATTACGGTAACTCAACTTAGGGTCCTTACCTTGAAGATCCTTTAAGTGCTACACTCCAAAACGTTGCTTGCCTCGCGCAGGGTAGCCGTGGTAGCACCCTTGCTTGAGCTCCGAAGCTTCAACACGCGGTACATGATATCAGGCCTGGCCCGCCTTGATATCCAGGACATGCTACCGACAACCGGCCTGAGCTGTCGCTCCTCTCCCTCTATGAGATCCGAATGTTTGCGGTTCGGTTTAACGTCGACATTCGACCTAAGGCGGCCCTGCTCTCGGCCATCTTCGAACTCGCTCAGCAGGATATTGCAGATCCTCCGCCTTCGATCGATGCCCACAAGAAATCATCGATGTGAGTCGTGAGAACGCACACTACGCTCTCATTCTTTCGGAAAAAATTGCAGGATAGATATGGCTGACCTGGAAATCTACGGCCTACGCCTCCGTCTTCTCCATCAACCTTACGTCAAAAACCTCTTCCACTATCACAGAGTCCATATTAATTTGTACTTTGATTAGTAAGTAGCGTGGCCTCTGGGTCCACGCCTGGTAGGCCACCGTTGGGCTGCCGCATCAAGACAGTGCGGTTTATTGTCCCTGCCTGGAAATAGGAGTTCCTGTAATGTCGGAGACTCTACAGATACGCCGTGAGAGGCGGCAAGAGCTGCGACTAGCGCATGCGTTGCCAAGTCGGAGGTCGGAGCGTCGGTCCTACCTCCCTCATGACACCAGCCTCAACTTGTACTCAAGGTCATAGTCGGGCCTCAACATGTCATGAAAGTTTCGCGAAATGCACCCACCCATTTAGATGGTATGGGTACATGTCCGGCATCAAGTAGATCTTTCAGCTCGCGACCCAGAACCGGTATCGATTCGACTCATCGACGCGAGTGCGCCCCTTCCTCCGCATACATTTTCCCACACAATACAAATTGCTGGCATAGCCGAAGCAGCCCAATTCGAATCCACCGTGGTTGGTCAGGGAACATCCGATTGTGCAAGACGTGCAGACACAACATGCAGTGGCACAGTGGGGTGCGGACGACATGAAAGAGCAACCTTGCACGTCACAGGCCTAGTTCAATAGCATGACATGTTCGTGACCCTTTTTGCAAGACCGGCAACTTGAATGCAGTGCTAGCCTCTGTTGACTCAGAAGGACTCAGCGTGGTCGCGCAAAGCATGCTTGGAAAGCCAGAGATGCCTAGCGCGTGTGTGTTCCAGTCTGTTGGTTCCTTTTGAGGCTTCGTTTGAATCATACCGCCCTGGCTCGAGCATTTTGCCCCGAAATTCTGTGCCGTGCACCTCTCGACACCTCGATCTTTAGCTCTTCTTGTAAAGTCGCAATGGCTATGATCGACATCGTGCCATCTCTTGAGGAGCTGTCACTGGTTGATGTGTGCGGACAGCAATGCATGCCCGGTGTGGAGACCAACTTGGCCGAACTTCTGCTGACCGCCGCAGAAGCAACTCCGGACCGCGTCTGCCTCGAAGTTCAAGGTGAAAGCTACACCTTCGCACAGGCCCGATGCTGTTCGCCTAAAGTCTCGACTAATCCGTGCTGCATTCGGGCTGCACCGTTTCCTTTCCCGGCCTGCGGCATGATCTTGCCCACCCCTATGCTAAGTCACCAAGAGCATGTTGTCATGAGCATTCTTGAGGATCTTCTGTAAGGTTGAGTGTCCAGAGTTTTGGGTTTAGGTTTTGGGATGCGGAGCTAGGGTTCCCAGACCTTGGTGCAAGACTTTCGGCGAAACTATAGCGAGCTCGCAGAAGGTTTCCTGCACATGAATCCGCGTAGATCGGCTGCCGATCTTGTCCGCATCCCTTGAGGTCGCCCGCATGGCGAACTCGATCCGCAAAGTTCTCCGCAAAGCTCTGGCTTCCTTGGACCTCCCCAGTGTGTCAGGCGAGGCGCCGGCGCCGGAAGCTCACCAGCGCAGATCGGACGAGCATGTGGTGACCATCGTGCTAGACCGCGGCGTGAGGAGCATCGCAGCCGTGCACGCCGTGATGTTGGAGAGATGTGCATACAACGCCTTCGACGTTGGAGAGCCCGTGGAGAAGCTTCGAAGTTGGGTGGAAGTCTCGCGCCCACCAGTGATGATCTCCAACGCCGCGGTTTTGAAGCGACTTGGTCTGACGGACATCGCGGCGACTTTGGGCGACTTCCCGCGCGTGGTCATCGACGCCGACTTGGCTCTGAAGAAGGCGGACAGCCGGGGCTCGGGCTGGCTTCCCGCCAAGCATGATGCGGAAGATCTCGACAGATTGGCCTACCTGATCTTCACAAGTGGGTCCACGGGAAAGCCCAAGGCCGTGATGATCCGACACAAGTCGGCCCTGAACGTGGTGCGCATCTGGGGGAAGTATGTTGGCCTGGGCTCCCATGATCGCTTCGCCCAGGTGGCGTCCATGTCCTGGGATGTGCACATCATCGAAGTCTACGGCACCATGTCGGTGGGAGCCACGAGCGTCACCTGCCCCGACATGATCAAGAAGTCGGGTCCTGACATGCAGGTGTGGCTGAAGGATCGAGAGATCACCGGCATGAGCGTGGTGCCGTCGCACCTGCGCACCATGGCCGGTGGTGGAGCCGACGTTTCGAGAAGCTCCGCAGGGCTTCCGCACCTCAGAATCTTGGACGTTGGAGGAGAAGCGCTGGGTGCAGATGTGGTGTCCACTTGGGCCCCTGGACGTCGCCTCTTCAACAGCTACGGGCCCTCGGAGATCTCGGTGGTCTGCACCGGCGCCTACGTGAACCCGGGCGACGTGATCACCATCGGCGCAGAGCTGCCGACCTACACTTGCTACATCTTGGACCCCGAAACGCTGGAGCGGAAGGCGGACGGCGAGCGCGGCGTGCTCTTCGTGGGAGGCATTGGCCTGGCGCGGGGCTACCTCGAGGAGGAGGAGAAGACGAAGGCCAAGTTCCTCGACCTGCCGGGGCTCGGCCGCGTCTACAACACCGGCGACCTCGCGCTCCGCGATGAGACGGGGCGGATCCAATACCACGGCCGAGTGGACTGGCAGGCCTCTCCGTTCTTCGAGTGTTTGTAATGCCTCCTGCTGCAAACGGCGCGTAGCATTTTACCAGATTTTAAGTTGATGCTGCCTTCCAGGTGAAGGTGCGGGGCATCCGGATCGAGCTGGAAGCCTTGGAGCAGGCCATCGTGGAGCTGCCGGCGGTGAAGCACTGCGAGGCCGGCGCGCAGCAACGTTGCAGAGACCCCGTAATCGCACCAGCTGCTACTGTACTAGGGCCGTATACGAAGCGAAGGTCTGCTAGACTCTGCTAGACCATGTCGTAGCTTGCGGAGGCTCGCGTTCTGAACGACGGCCAGCGTTTGGTGCTGCTGGCTTCAGGGCAGGAGGTTTCGGAGGCGGAGCTGAAATCGACGGCCGCGTCGCTGGGGCGTGGCTACGTCCTCAGCCAGGTGAAGATCGTGGAGAACGACGCCTGGAAGTTCAACGCTTCCGGAAAGCTCTTGCGGAACGTGGTCCCTCTGGACGAGGAGGTGGACGTAGAGGCGAAGAAAGATGGCTGGGAGGCCTTCGAGAAGACCGGGGTGTCGGACCTCGAGCTTGAAATCGCGGCCTGCCTGGCACCGCAGCTCACTGTCGCGGAGTGGAACCGGGACTCGCACTTCATGGAGGATCTCGGCGTTGACTCCGGAGGCTTCGGACGACTGATCTCTCAGATGCGGTCCAAGCCGAGGCTGCAGAGGATCGACCTGCAGATGCTCTTTGAGCGCCCCACGGTGCGATCACTGGCCTCCGCTCTTGCCGAGCAGTCTGCAGACTCAGACTCGGAGGACGACGTGAATCTGGAACCGGACCTGCTGGATTCCTTCCTTGAGGCCGTGAAGGAGCACCCCCACGCTGTCTGCCTCGAGGGGAGCCATGCGTCTTTGAGCTATTTGCAGCTGCATCGGCAGATGATGGCCTATCAGCGACTGCTGCATCAAGCCAAGCCGTCCAGGGGAAGCGTCGTGGCAATCTGCCTGGAATCCATGGATAGGCTGGGTGCCACGTTGGGGGTCCTCCGAGAAGGGTGCGCCTTCAGCTTTCTTGGTTCGGACCTTTCGGAGCAGATCAAGCTGCTGAAGCCTGATTTCATCCTGGCCAGCTCCGACGACAGCAGCTGGGATCAGCTGTCCGAGCTCTGCGACGGTTCCTCCGCTCAAACGAGCAGCCTTCTCGATACGAGCACGGTGAGCTCCCTGCTGTCGCAGCCTCCCAAAGCTAGAAAGGCGATGCAGGGTGACGACGTGTGCTGCGTTGCCCTGGAAGTGCGTGGAGGTGTGCAGAGCGCAGTCCCCGCGTCGCACCGCACCGTGCTGCAAGCTCTCTCCGCTTGGTGCCCACTGGTGGAAGGCCAGCGGATTTCCAGCCTGACGCAGGAGGGTACTGCGGGCGACATCCTGAGCCATTGGAGCATTTTGGCCCGAGGCGCCACGCTAGTGACCCACGATGCTGAACAGGTGCAGCAGGCGCGCACTGAGCTACTGATCTGCGAGCACGACAAGATCCCACGTCGTGGTGCCGGTCAGCGCAAGATCTTGCAGCTAGCAGCGGAGGGCGGCTTCACAGCTGTTCCATCGATTCTCAAGTTTGCGCCTGCGGGAACTGCAGAAAGCCTTCGTTCCCGAGCTCTTCGTTCGTCCTCCGTGCTCTCTTTGGCTTCGTCTTTGGCTCCCTACATCCTTGGACAGAGCCAGAAAGAGGGAACGGAGAGCTTCGGAGATCACAGCCGGCCCGTGCTGTGTGCCGCAGTGCAAGGCTTGGCCATTTTGGGGCAGCCAATCTTTGTTGCATCTCGCCTGTTGTTGGCAGAAAGAGTGCTGCTGCCTCTGGCGTTCATGCTAGCTCTCTGGCAAACCTTCCTCTTGGTCGTAGCTCTCCTGACGTTGGAGCAGTTCGTTCGAGTCTTCATCTTGGTGATTGTGAAGTGGTCGCTGATCGGTCGCTACAAGGAAGGCGATCATGACATCTACAGCTTCTTCTATCTGCGTCACTGGCTGGTAGAGCACATGGCGAAAGGCACCATCGTCGGGCAAAATGCACATCAGGGAAGTAGCATCGCCTTCTTGTTCCTGCGCAACCTTGCTTTGAGGGCCCTTGGCGCAGATGTCAGACTGACCTCCGTTGTCACTGCCCGTGTGGTGGCATACGACCTCGTTTCGGTCGGTGACTTGGCGACTGTCCATGGTCCTCGACACTTGACTGCTGTGAACTACGGCAGCCGCCGCATGGTCCTGAAACCTGTGAAAGTTGGTGCAGGCGCCTATGTGGGCCCCAACTGCACGTTGGAGCCGGGATGTGAGATTGCGGCAGCGGGCTACGTGGAACCATTGTCAGCCGTCCCTTCCGGCATGGTGGTGGATGGCCGCGTGTGTGGCGTTCCTGCTCAAGTGGTGGGGCCTAAAGATCTCAGCAGGTTGCCTGGCTCCGGCGAAGTTCGAAGCTTTCGGAGACGCGCGGCCTTCTTTGCTACGGCCTACTGGATGCTGCTCCTTCCCAAAGCGTTGATGCCGCTCCTGGGCGTCGTTGCCTTCCAGTTGCTCAGCGTGTATCCTTGGGATCATCAAGAAGTTGTGAGGGAAGAGTCCATGTATCCGGAGCACCTGGACGTGCTGCCCACCGAGCTTATGGAACGGATGAAATGGATCCCGCTCATTGCCTTTGGGGCTTCGATGCTGAACACGGTGGGGCACTGAGTCGACAGCAGGGCCTCCGGTTTCACCTGCATGTTGTCTATAGATGTGTTGAGCTGTCTCGCGCATGATCGGTGACGTGGAGTATGCTTCGGACGGTCAAGTTTTAACTTCATTTTAACTTCAACATCTTCAACGCAGGTAGCGTTAGGCAGCGTGGCCTGATGCACGCCGTGCGCCCCTGTCTGAGGTGCTCCAGCTTGGCGGAACGGCCGTGCTCTGCCGAGTTCTGCCGAAGGTGAAGCCGCCTTGCACCTATTCCTTGCTGAGCATCCGAGCGCAGATCGCGGCCTTGAAGATGTCCATGGTGCTGCAGGCGTCAGAGATGCTCGCAGATGCCTCCATCGTACCCGCCTTCATCCGGATGTGTGGTGCTACCTTTGGGCACGGATGCGCCATGGGCTTGCAGGCCGGGATCGTCGATCACATGCCGTGCTTCATGTCAGTGCGCGCTCAGATGTCCGAGCCACTGCCCCCTTTGCTTCCCTGCCAGGTGACGCTCCCGGAGACGCTGGTGGTGGGCAAGGGATGCTTCTTTGCCACCGGCAACATCTTGACCAGCGTGGACGTCGACCAGGGGAAGTTCAACGTGCCTTGCATCACCGAAATGAGCCGCCCGGCCGCAGGGGCACTGTATCTGCGCCTACAGAACTGGGCTTTGCTCGTCAAATTCCTGGGGTCTGAGGCGATCACACCTTCCTGGGAAATCACAACCACCTGCCGGAGGGTCTGCCCGAGGGTAGCTTCTGCGGAGTGGGCACCTGGCTGCCGAAGAGACCCACGGAACCCAACATGAGCAGCTTGCCTCGAACGTGCGTCGCCGGCTTCTTGCAAGAGGGGATTTCAGAGCGGCACGCTGTCTTCTGAGTCTTCTGGGCTCCAAGGCTACTTCGGCAACCCTGCCATGAAGTTCCGTCGCCTGAGCAGTCAGGCTGCAGGCCTGAGTGTGCGAAGCGAGCTACAGCGGCTGTAGCAAGAATCCCTCAAACACCTCCTTAAAGGACCTAAAGGATTTCGCATGCACAGCAGCCGGTCTTGGGATTCTTTTGGATGTTTGTTGTTGTTGTTTGTTTGGGGATGTTGCGCGCAGCCTTGGCAGGCAAAGTGAACCGGGGCCCTGAAGCGGCGAGCTGCCTGGCGCGGTTCTGGCACCACTTCAGCACCAGCATCTTGGACGTCTTCCTCTACCGCGGCGTGCAGGGCACCGTCACGGCTCTTGCCATGCTGACGAGCCGCCTCCTCTGCCCGATGATCACAGCAACTTGGGAAGTCTTTGCGCTGCTCCTCGTCTACGTCGCCTTCGCCTTGGTCTCCTGGTACCTCTTCTCGGTGGTGCTGGGCAATCTGCTCTTCAATGGATCAACTCCCCACAGCAACGCCTACTACTCCACCACGGTCACGCGCTGGTTCACGGCACTCACCGCCCAGCAGCGAGTCTTCAAACTGCCGTTCCAGACGGCCGGCACGCGCTGGCAAGCTCCCGTCCTGAGGCTGCTTGGCGCGCGCGTGGGCAAGCGGTTCTTCTGCATGAACGAGCTTGTGCTGGTGGACGCTCCCTTCACGGACATCGGCGATGACGTCACGGTGGACTATGATGGACAGGTGAGATGTCACTCCTTCGAGGACTTCCGGCTGAAATTCACCCACTACTCGGTGGGGCATCGGGTGACCATCATGTCCGGTGCCAGTGTGGCGATGTGCCATGCGGGAGATGGCGCCGTGCTGCGTCCAGGGAGTCTCAGCTGGAAGGGCAGCAACTTGGAGCCCGGTGTCGTCTACGAGGGCGCCCCTGCGTCCGCCCTGGCTGACCTCGAGACGGGGCTCCCCGCTCCGACGCTCTTGCAGGGCAAAGCGAAGTTGCCAACGGTGAAGTAAAGAAAAGGGAAGTCAAGTTCGGCTTGGGGCATGTGTTGTGCTTTTGCGAGCTCGGCAAAGTGTACAGAATCGGTGCTCGCCGTCTTCAATTTTTGTTGAGTCAGAAAGACTCTTCGCAATTCTTTGCCGTCGTGCAAAGCCTTCTTACCTGGACCTCGATGCCATGGCAATCACAGATGTGGCATGCGTGACACTTTTGCGAGACCAGCAACTTGTATAGTCGCAGTGCTATCCTCTGCTGAGTCAGACGGACTCAGCGCCGTCGCGCAAAGCATCCTTGGATTCACCTTGGCACCATGGCGATCCCCTGTTCAGTACAGCGGATGTGTACAGAAGCAAAATCGGCAAGAAGGCAAGAGATACCTAGCGTCTGATGGCTTGCATGTTTGAGCATCTTGTCTTGGTTGAAACGCGAGCAAGACTGCAAGTGCTTTCTGGCCTGCACTATGCTGGCGCCGCCCAGCATCCAGTTATTCAGCAGTAGCGCTGGCCGCGTTTTCCGCCTTGTCGAATCGGTCCTTGGAGGCACCCTGATCCTTCAAGAACGTTGCAGTAAATGCAACTATCAAAGTACAGCCCCTCCTTTTTGGAGACAGGAGAGAAGATAAAGCTACCAGCCCCAGATGAACAGTGCGCGGGAGGCGGGTGGATCGAAGACTCGGGGATGGAGACGGAAAGTCAAGATGCAGGTTGCCGATTAGCTTCTGGACACAACAGAGTGTTCTGCTTGCTTTGTAGCGGCAGCAGCAGCAGCACGGTTGTTTTTTGTGCTTCCCTTTCACTCTCTCCCCTTCTCTCTCTGTTTCGAGATTTAGTTGTTTCTGCCTGTCGCAGGTCAAGTCAAGATCATTGACCGGAACAAGACCCCTGCTGCCGCCCCGGTGGAAGCGACGGACACATCCTCAGACGTGTTCACGCGGCATGTCCGATTCTACGTAAGACTCTGAGGTCAAGCTCAAGGGCGGCGAGTATGTCGCACTTGAGATCATCAATGTGCAGACCTCTGCCTTGAAAAAGAGGACGGAGGACTTGAGATGCGGATATACTTGAAGGTGACCTACAAAAATCAACCCCGAGGCCGGAGGCGCACCAATGCAAAGCACTGTTTGAGATCTAATGCTAAGCAATTCTGGCGTGGTGGTTCTGCGGCTGCAGGACGCAAGCCATGAAATCGATCGGCCGGTACTGCTCGCTCAGTGCACTTGCCCGAGAAGCACGCACCACATTCCAGGTGTCGCTGCCTGTTGCGCTGAGGCAAACGGAAAGAGCTGCTTGAGCTTGCAGCCAAAAGTGGAGCAGCGGACTTACCCACGCCGCCCATCTTATAACAGGCATATCAACAAAATGAAGCCTGACGGCAGCGCTAAGGTCACTGGAAAAGATGGCCGAGGCCATTTCCAGGAAGTGGACGTGCATGTAACTTGACGTGCGAGCGCAGCTTTGGCAAGTCTCTGCTACAGGCGGTAAAGCTCCCTTCGCTGATGCAAGCGACGGCTGTCATGCCCGTGTTGGAGCCATGGACAGCCCCGCGTCCAAGTGCACCCGAGGATGCTGTTGTCAGTTGGATTCGCAGGACGCCAGACAACGGCTGCCTCACAGCGACTTCGAAGCTGGGCCCTCTCTGCTGGCTACAGTCTGCAGTGCCGAAATGCGCCGAACCCATTTTGAATGCAGGCTTGTGCCGAAGACAATCTACAAAGTCCACGAGAAGGCATCCAACCTCGTCCGCGAGTGCGATGCTGACCAGTATTTCGCTTCGTCCACGCACTCATGCTAGTTCAGCCGACATGTTTCGTGGGGCTGAAAGGGGGTCAGCGTATGGGGCTTAGGGGCATGGGTTGCACTCCAAATCTTGTTTTACTTCGACACAAGTGCTGGGATTTGCAGTCGTGGCCATGATTGTGACCTGTTGTCGAGCCCGAAGTTTCCGTTTTGCTCGGAGCCGATCATGTGGAGCTGTGGCTCAGCATGGTACGGACTGATATGTGCAGGACCTCGGCATCTTGAAGCTGTGCCGCCGTCCTGTTTACGTGCACCATCTGGAGCAGTATTCACACACAGTCGTTTGTTGAGATCTTGGGTCAGGATGGCCGTGAAAACCGCCATGGGCTCGAACTGACATGAATGCGGCCATGTGTTTCTTTCCCCACTCAGGAGAAGAAGAGGTTTTCTGCTTCGAGGCTGACGTGTTTGGCAGACCTTGACAGTTGCAGAGCGACCTGTGACACTAGACTCAGGAGACTGAGCTGACGGACCCGTGGAAGGACTCATGCAGGTGGCAGGGGTTCTTCTTCGGCATATTCCACCTCTCCGGCTTTTGGCACCTTCAATCCTCTTTGTCACCTTGTGTCATCTTGAAGCCGCAGCATATCAGGGGTCAGGGCTCTTCTGTATAGTTGCCCCGGCCATGCTGACAGCTGTGGCAAGCTTCAAGAGCCTGGACTGCGAGCCAGTGTTAGTGTGTTAGTGTTTATGCTTGCGACGGGTTGCCTCATGGCAGGTTGTGCCTGATGTTGTGATTCTGCAGTCGGGGGGTTTGGAGGCTGTGGTAAATTTTATCGCTAACGCGAGACCGCTCGGCAGCGCTAGTTGAGGGCAGGGACCCGCTGCCGTCTGAGTCGTCTAGGCATGTACATATTGTACATACAAGGTCTGTTTTCCATTGTAGGCCGTGCCTCCAGCTCGCTGCCTGACGCTGAGGAGTGGATCCTGATCCTTCTCGGGGGAATCCTTGGGGCGATCGTCGGGATCATGCAGGCGCCTGCCGCGTAGAACTTCGCCTTGCGGCTTTTGGGGCCCCCCCTCTCCGTCTCGAAGCCTTGCGCCAGGTCTACTGCCTCTCCGGCTGAGCTGGGAAGCTCTGATTCTCCTCAGATACAGACATGCTTTGAAGGACGTCTCTCTTAGAGCCTCTGCTCTCCATAGCGGGAGGCAGTTTAACTTGCAAGTTGCCTGCCAAAGGCAAGCAAGCCTAGGAAACGCATAGGTGCCGAGGCCAACTCGGGGGCTGTTCTGAAGTACCGGTCCATCCAACCAAAAGTCATTGAAGCAGAGCTGGTGGTCATGTGTTACACGACAATCCAAGCTCTTTCCCTCACCAACCAACCACTCCTACGCAAAGCATGCACTTACCAACGGTTGTGCAGAAAGAGCAACATCCACGGGGCTGCGATGTCCGGAGGCACCGGGCAATCTCGCTGCCTGTGAAACCTCCAAAACCCAAGGGCACAACTGTCTGAGCTTGCAAGCGTACGTAAAACAGACAGAGCTGGAATGATGCTCCTCCACAGTAACATTGCACAATGGATGTGGCATGATGTGGCAACATCAACATATGCCCTCAGTTGGCATAGAAGAAGCTGACAACACCCATGCACCAACTGCAAGGAAGAGATGCGGCAATTAATCGGCGTAGTGGAGAAGGCACTTGCACAGATATTGATGTTTCCTGTGGTGCCAACTCGGCCTGCCGACCAGCCCTCTCGCCACACATGCAAAGCCTTCCCAGTGATTGCGCAAAAGCAGCGGTTATACAACCAAACCTGTCGTCGAGTCGTCACTAACAACACAAACTACAAACTACAGTTGCTTCGCTGTTGGTGCTGCTGTTTCTGCTACCGCCACGTTTGCCCAGAACTGCTGTTGCTTCTGCTGCTGCTACGGCGATTGCCATTACGACTACAACCATACTACTACGACGGCGGCTGCTACTACTACTACGACGACGACTACTACTACCACTACTACTACTACAACAACAACTACTACTACTACTACTACTTCTACTTCTACTTCTACTTCTACTGCTACTAGTGCTGCTTCTACTAACTACTACTACTATTACTACTACTACTACTACCACTACTACTACTACTACTACTACTACTACTACCACTACTACCACTACTACTACTACTACTACTACGACTACTACTACCACTACTACCACTACTACTACTACTACTACTACTACTACTACTACTACTACTACTACTACTACTACTACTACTACTACTACTACTACTACTACTACTACTACTACTACTACTACTACTACTACTACTACTACTACGACTACTACTACTACTACTACTACTACTACTACTACTACTACTACTACTACTACTACTACTACTACTACTACTACTACTACTACTACTACTACTACTACTACTACTACTACTACTACTACTACTACTACTACTACTACTACTACTACTACTACTACTACTACTACTACTACTACTACTACTACTACTACTACTACTACTACTACTACTACTACTACTACTACTACTACTACTACTACTACTACTACTACTACTACTACAGGGTCAGTAGTAGCAGCCTTAGAGGCCGGCGCAAGCATCACAGAAATTCTCATCTCAAGCTGGATAGTTCGGAACAGCTCCCTGCGATGGCCCGAAAAGCACAGGAGGCCTGGGATCCATTCCGGGTCCCGACGGGCCGAGGACTCCCCTGCCCTCGCCCGAAGTGTCGCAAAAAGGATGTGTGTGTGTGTGTGTGTGTGTGTGTGTTTGAACTCTTCTGACGCTCAAGCTCGCAGGCTCAGTGATGCATTCACATGTTGTGGGCCCCCGATGCTCGGCTCAGACGTGCCGTTTGAGTCAAAGCAGTCTCCCTGTTTCCTCGGTTCAGCGGAGAAGGCACCGGCCTGCAACGAATGTCAGCTCCCGAGCTGTCAGTCGCGTGTGCAGATGCAAAAGGAGAAGTTTGCTGCGTTTTCGGTGTGACGAGTCACCAACGAGTTTGCCTTTAGTCCGTGAAGCCGAATTGAAGACAGCATGAGGGCCTGCAAGAGGTGTGTACGGTACATGACCTTCTTCAGCATTTCCTCTTCAGCTGTTGTTGGCCGAAGCCCGTCATGGTAGACCCGTGCTAGAATGTCCTGGAGTAGAAGGCTTCACACAAATTGAATCGGTTGAAACATGCATGTGCAGTCGGTGTGACCTTGTCATGGGTTTGAGCATGACGTGGCTTCTGGATTGGGTTGGGCTGCTGGCAGCTGGAAGCCCAGATCTTCTTCAGTTTTTTATTGATGCCAGCAAGAAATGGAGTCTGTTTGAGGTCGTCGTTTTCACTGTCACCACCGCGATAATAAAACTGCTGCCTCGCCAGCGGTGCCGAGCTGGGCCAGAAATCGAAGTTGATCTGGAGAAGGGCGCGGCCCTCGGATAGGCCGCACATGTGCGCCTAGAATCCCTTACAAGTCATAGAGGGATCCCCAGTCAGGTTTGCAGTCTGATGTCCGTGAGCCCCCTGCAGAAGAAGGCAAGGAACATTGAAGCTTCTCAAGATTAAGCAACGGGGCAAATCCAGAGAGCAATTTGGATTATGGGATCCTTGGCGGATTGGGGGTTGGGCGCAGTGCCTGAAAAGAGGTGCGCCAGTGTTTTTCAAGCACGCAGGGCAATCCAGCTGGGCAGCTTGCTGTTTTGCTTTGAGTTTTCACTTGAGGCTGCGGGAGCAGTGGCAAATCATTTGCATTGTTTATTTCTCCTGTCTCGGGAACATGCGCAATTACATGTTTTGTCTTCGGGGCTGGTTTGCTGGGTCGACAATGCTTTCACGAGCGCTGTTTTGGGGGGTTTGTCGGCTTGTTGGATCCTTTTGCCTCCAGTCCAACAAGGTTCCGTTAGGTGTCCTGTACGGATATATTGTGCGTTACATGTTGAGGAGGGGCAAGAAGGGGGATTCCAGCCTGCTACTCGCAGCCCTCTCTAGCCCGGAGCCCTCTCTGACTCCTAGGATTGATGAAGAGGAAGTTGAAGAACCTTGAACCCTAAACGCTATAGAGTTTTGCGTGTCCGTGCAGAGGAAGTCTTCGGCCTCGTCCCACTTCCTCGCCACCTCTGGGGCCGAGTCGACGAGGTGCAGACGGTAGAAGAACGCTTGAGCGGATTCGGCTTTCTTCTTGTTACTCGTAATATGTTATTGTTATTAGTATTAGTAGAAGTGTGGTTGCAATTGGTGTTACTTTGTTCTTTTTTCTATAGTACTATTCTATCATTACTACTACTAGTTTTGTTATTCTTATTAGTATAGTTTTTAATCTTGTGTTTATGTTGGACCCGGGAGGAAGAGGGGCTTGCAATCAAACGCAGAAGCACTCCAGTGCTAGAGTAGGTGAGTTGCTACGTGCGTGGGAACTCCAGCTGAGTTTCCGCCACCTTAAGTTCGCAGAAGTATATGTTTTCAATAATATACCTCGTCAAGATCCACCGGTAGCCCCTTGCCTTTTTCAGCAACTGTTACTGAGCGAGGGCAGCGCAAGTCTTACAAGGATACTGTTGCACGGTGTTTGGTAGAATTTGGGAGCACAGGCCGCAAGAAAGGACCGACTTCTTGGAGATGATGAGGGAAATCAGGTCCTCATATAAGGTCGAGCAAAAAGGTTCCCAAATCCAATTCCATGTGACTGTGTGGGTGTCTGAGAGCAGTGAAGTGTCATGTCAAACGTGGTTCCCAAACCTTGCGTCAAAAGCCCCAAGGGCCCCAAGATCCCGAAAGAAGCTGTGAGGTCATTGGAGATTTTCTGCGCACGTGTTTCCTGAGCACGTTATCGGAAAACTTAATCACGGAGCAGCCTCGTGGCAGTTTCGCGGAATGCTGAAAACGCGCAAACTGGACGCATAGCCTTTTACGTCCAAACCGTTTTCTCTCACACCCAGCTGTGTGCAAAGCGATCCTTCAGTCCAGTGTCCGTGGCAGTGCTGTCAGTTGTGCTTCGTAAAGCCAGGTGCTGAAATCAAATACCAACTTCACGTCTGTGCAGATCCGCATTGACAACGTATGGAAAGAGAATGCAATGAACCGAAAAGAACACGGACAAGAATCTGAGCGGTAGTCTTCGCGGCCCACTCGCGGAAGCAAGTTCTGAAGTCTGACCGAAAACAGTTCGTCGAAGGGAATCGCGGTAGGCGGAAGGAACAAAGACTACACTGCTTCTCACGGAAGTCCTCCGTGGAAGATGTGGAAGGTTGTTGCCATTGCCATGATATATAGGAGCAAATTCTACTGGCTCGCGTAGCTTTGGACTTTCCAACTTATGGATTGGCCATGCTGGCGTGCAATCTTTAAGCACCGCTGGCGTGTAGAGCCTTGATGAGCGCCGATCATCATACCTGTGTCTCGCTGCCTACCTTACCTACCTTGGTCCACGTGAGGATGTTTGGAGCAGCAATCAAATTTGATTTCGTCGGAAATATTCACTTTGCCAGGCGTGCCTG